CACTAAATACAACAAAGCAGCAGGATAAAGAGGGCACGTGTTCACGCTTTTGACGTGACAGAAAGCAGAAATTATTTCTTTACAAAGATGGTAGTTAATATCTGGAATCCTGACTAAGCAATTGTGATTGAGGCTGGGTGTCTGATCTCATTTAAGAACCAGTTTAAGAAACGCCTCCAACCGTACCTTACCCCAGACGCAGCCAAAACACTCGTCCATGTGTTCGTTACCTCCTGATTGGATTTCTCAAAATCCCTCTTTGCCGGTCTCCTCAGCTCCACCATGCACAGAATCCAACTGATCCAAAACTCCACTGCCCACATACTCACCCGTACTAAGCTACGTACCTCCATCACACCAGTTCTAGCCAAGCTCCCCTGTATCACCGAACGGATCAATTTCAAGATCCTTACAGTGTTTTCAAATCCCTTCATGCCATGGCACCTCCCTACCTCTCCGACCTACTCACCCCACAACCCACTGCCTCTGCTCGACGGACTCCAGCCTTCTGCATGTCCCTCATGCCCGCCGTTCCACCAGTGGTGGCTGCGCTTTCAGCCACTACCCCGCAAAACTCTGGAACACTTTTTCTATCCCGCCTCCTTGCCTCTTCCTTCCTCATCTTCAGGTCGCACCTGAAGACCTTCCTATTCGACCGTACCTACAGTCACTTCCCTCTCCCCCTGGCTCGGTGTTGTGCTCTGCCACTGTCAAGCGCTCTGGATGCTATCCTGGTGAGGGGCACTGTATAAATGCAAGTTGTTGTAATTTGTTATTGGCATTTAAGTACTGTTCCTTGCATGAGACATTAAACCGAGACCCTGTTTGTTTTACTATACAGTTTTACAGTAAAACCCTGTGAAGTGCTTTGAGATGTCCTCCTGACATGAAATACTATAATCAAATGCAAGGATTTTTATTATTGATATAAATAAAAGGCCTTTATTGTTTATTAAAATCTTTCTTATAATAACTAATTTGAATAGATCCATTACACATTAGTGAGGTGTGACAGGGTGGCCCTGTATGAGTACTTACACAACTGGGAATATGTCACAATTTTAGAAATTTATATTTCTAGGAGAAGTAATTTGCTCACCCCTTTCACTGGTGTGAAGTTCCCTTAGATTGGGGGTGGAGAGGGAGGAATAGTGATGTAAATGAAAAACGCAAACACTGATATAAAGTTTCTTGCCGGAGGGTAAAACGAACTGCTGACGCTATTTATACACAAAACAGCTGACAATCTGGCGAAGGCTCACCAAATTCATGAGTCATGTGTAGTCTGTGCTGAAATCCGAAGACAAGATAATTATACTATCACGCACATCATTTTGTTTTTGCATTTTTGGTCGAGTACAGAAAATGTTTGAGCTACCTTTACCATTTTTGGTATTAGGTATCAATAGTCTACAACCATTGACCAAGATCCACTGCCACTTACCCTGCCATATATGATTTGACTAAGAAATAATGGACCACTACGCCCCAAAACTCTGGAACGCTCCCCATCAGTCCCTCCGCCTTGCCCCCCCTCTCCCCTCTTTCATTTCCCGTCTGAAGACTTTCCTCTTCAACCATGCTTACGGCTACCTCCCCCCAGCTCAGAGTCAGGCTCCGCCACTGTTAAGCTCTGAGACGCTACCCTACGTGGAGGGTGCTATATAAGTGCAAGTTGATGTTATATAATTTGAAGATTTTTTGATCTGTTCCACATGCCCTTTTTAGTTTAAAAAAACCTAATTCTTGTATTCTTTATACTCTTATTGATTTTATTTCAATTATATGGTTCTTGGTTTTAATTTTTTGCATGGCAGCAAAGATCTGAATGGAATGCTGATTTGATGCTCAGTTAAAGAATCAATTTGAGCAACTTCCTTTACTGGTTTAGCCAGAATTAACACAGCTTTTACCTGTAACAATGGATTAGGCATATGGAGATAAGCCTTTTAAAAGTGTTGCCGGATCTAATTCATTGTCCAGCGATTACAATGACTAAGAAAGCTTGGAATTGATGATGCGTCTTTTTTTCCAATGACTGAGTGCAAATTTTCATTTCCTTCAGTTTTAAAGTGATCCAAGTTCTAAAAATATGACATGCAAATTCTTAGACTTAATTTTTGAGCCTTTCACTTTGAATAGTCACAACAAGCAGCAGATCTTGGTGCAGTTTCAAAGATGCTTGTAACTAAGGGCAGTTTGATCACCCAAGCAATACTTACAACATCAGTCAAAGCCAGATGGATCGCCTAGTATGATGTCTGTGCACGACTGACAGCTGCCCTGGCTCAACAATTTGACCAGAACAAACAGCATTCTGTTTGCCAAATAGTAGAATGCATTAAAACCCTGTTGTCCTGTTTAAATAATAAAAATAATCCTTGCATTTCAGTCTAATTTGCTTTCTTCAATTTCCTGTACATATATTTTTGATGAATTACATAGTTATACTGAAATTCTTAACAACCGTTATACATTATGATTATACCCTTCAGAAATGTCAATGGAAGTATAGCTTAACAGCAGTTAATATCCTCTTAGCATTTATGAGCAAGTCCCAGAGGTAACAATTAGCTCTACATAATTTTTACGTAATGGAACATGGATTTTGTTTCAACATAAAATAAGAGAACTTCCTTGCAGAATTTTTTGAAAGAAATTTTTTCAGCTGTAATCTATATAAATGAGGTCAAGTATTGCATGGGAAATAATGAAATGAATTTGGAATAATGTATCACTTACAGTGGCCAAATAACATAGGCACTTTAAACATTTACTCAGCAACACATTTTGAATGGTTCAGAACTAGACAATTGCATTGCAAAATTTAATTAAAATAAGTGATGTGTGCAAGTGCAATGCAAACATCTCCAGTGGATGTTTGCATTACAACTTGAGACCATGGAAAGATCAAAGATGTTGAGATTGGATGGGCTGTCGAATCAAACACAGCACATGTATGCTGCCACTAGATGTCACCACTGTACGAGGTCAAAGGAAGCTAAAACATTTAAGGCCACATTTTCATTGTTATATATTGAAGTTCACATTTTCAAGTAAGACAGCATAAAAGCATTAACAAGATTTCTTAGGAAAGGAACACGTTTCATTCTTTGCATTCATTGGGGTCAACATTATGGTATTCTTAATTAAGAAACTAATTTAAAATGTGTTTTGAAATGTACACATTTGTATTGATTTTGGAATAATCGTAGCAATCAAACCCAGGAGAAAAATGTTGTGAATCACCATCTTGGATTTATGCTTCACAAAGCTGATGTTCTTGATCCTGGCAGCAGCCTTTCAGAATCCTTTTTAACTGCATATTGATTCAGTTAAGTTGTTACCTTCCTGGAAAGTGAATATTAAAAGGCCACAATTTACATCCAAAATTTCAATGGTAGGTTGCTAAAAAGACAGGAATCTTGACCCATGGTGTATTGGTCATCCAGGATCATCTTATTGTACACTGCACACCTCTTTAGGCCCAGTTGCAGGAACTTTTGAGGCAACTTAATTTGACAAATTTGCACGGGAACTGTAGGGAATGCCTTTTGAGACGGAGGCTGAGGCATATTGCTTGAGGCAGAGTATATGCAGATGTATTCTTCTGTCTGTTTTGTAGCTGACTAGGAAGCTGGCACTGGTGTCCAAAGTGGGAAAGTATTCCTTTCCCCGCCACTGGCAACCATTACCCTGCTAAATGCAACAATTGATATGCGATTGCGTGAACAATGAATTTGTATTAATAGCATTAACCTGTCACAACTCTTTATCAGACATCGCATTGAATGAACTACAATACTCGGTGAGATGCGAAAGGTGACAAGACTAATCCTTTCTTTGTAAAAATGCTGCATTTTGTTTGCACATTGAATTTGCCTCTAGCTGTTTTCCATTCTAGAAATGTTTATTCTGCATCAGAGCATTTTTGTGATGTCTGAATACCAATATTACATTTCAGTGACCAGCATTTTAAGGTGGTAGAACAAATGATAAATCGTGTTGGAATTACAGGCAATGATGCCTGGCCAGGACATTGGAATATGAATCCTGCTGTGAGGACAGAAAATTATAGTTGGCAACCCTTATTTTTTAAAAATGTAATATTTTTATTAGTGTCCTTTAATTCCTGGATTTAAATCTGTCTGTTTGAATTTGAAAAGTGTACCTGTTGAAAATAAATTTTCGCAGCAATAAACATTCAGATCACACACAATCAAGTTGTTACACGGCAGATCCAGGAATGCGCTGTTGTGTATTTACACAGTGATTTATTTCTCTGCTCTTTGCCTCTTTGTTCTGTGTATGATTAGCAGGCGCACTGGGGTGAAGTTCAGGCATGAGCAACATGATTAGATTAACCAGACACTCCTAAAAGTTGACCTTCACTCTGGAAACCAGGTTATCTTTGTAACTGGCAATAGGAAGTATCTTTTCTTTTTCAACAGCTATTATTCTTTGCTCCGACTTGAACATCTAACAAAAGTAATTGTGGGACAGTGCAGATTTAAAGTTAGATTGTCTTCTACCTACCTTTGTGTCTTATTCGGTTTCAGGCAAATTTGTAGTAGCTTTTCGAATTAAAACATTTTACTTCCTCCTACAGTGTTTATAAAGGGTAGTATGTGTGTGGGGGTGGTGGTGGAGAGCAATGGTCTTAATTATCTCAGGAAAATAAATAGATTTTGGGTGCTAATTTTAACTGCTGTGGATTTCTAACATTTTGCAGTTTTCTGTTTATTTCACTTAAATTCGTATTTGAAACTTGTCCGTATTGATTCTCCCCAGCATTGATTTGTATCATCTATTGTAAATTGTCTACTTTAACTTGTTCAGTTTATTGAAGAACATGTGGACAATTGGGATTAAACTGTACCCAGCTTATGGCCACAATGAACTGAAGACTAATTAAAGCAACCAATAATTTGGATAATAAAGTGCACAGTGCATTTGGCAAGCCCTTGTAACGGTTGTTTGCTTTGGGTGCTTTTCCACAGAATGTATATGTAAACATCAACCGCATCATGTCAGTGGCCAATCGTTTACTGGAATCAAACCATTATGCATCTCAGCAAATCAAGCAGATTGCCAGTCAGCTGGAGCTGGAGTGGAAGGCATTTGCAGCAGCGCTGGATGAACGCAGCACCTTACTTGACATGTCTGCTGTTTTTCATCAGAAAGCTGAGCAGGTCGGTAACTCTTTATGGTCTTTATAACCTTCGGACAGTTCGGAACTGTCCCAGGTGCTTAACTTGTCTCACTGTGTGTTGTTTTAGGTGTATTTTATGCTGCAGGATTTTCGAGCTTTTAAACTGTGAAACCTTGAATTGGGTAAACTAGCTCAATAATGAGTCAGCCTCTCTGAAAAGTGTTCCAGAGCAGTTTCATTCCTCACTAAGTACTTAACCCCATGTAGGGCTGCAGTAATTTCATATATCCCGCTGTCTGCTTTTCTCTGATAATTTCTGTAGCCAAGAATAGGTTAAAATGACTCTCAAAGCTCCCCAGGCAATTACCACATGTGTTTTAATATATGAAGAATTTACCTCAATTTTGTTTTTTTTTAAAAAAAACACAGAATTGCTTTTGTTAATAATGAGACCCTACCAGCAGATTACCTCCATGTGGTAACTATTAGTTTAAAAATAATGTATTTTCCTGGTTCCTCCCTGCAGTTGCGACCGTTTTGTTTATCAAATAGTGAAGCACCCGCTGAGATGATACCAATGGTATTGAGATAATCTCAATGATATTGAGATAATCTCTTTAGTTTATATAACCTTATTACTAATGCCTTTTGAGGCTGAGTGTAAACTTCTTCTTCACTGGCTGTTCATTTGCTTTCCGTGCAACTCTCCATTAGTGCTGAGTATTTTGTAAACTAATAGATGTGAAAAAGATACCTAGCTATTTGGAACATCACTAGTAGTTACCAAGCATAGAACTTGTCGCTGGAGGTACAATATAATATACATTTATATAGCCTCTTTCATGTCGGGAGAACGTCTCAAAGTGATTCATATAGCTAACTGGGTACTGAACTAGTATCACGGAGGAGGAGAACTGAGTAGGGTGAGATGGGGAAAATGACTGAAGCACAGTTGAAGAGGTACGTTTTTTGGATAGGGAAGGAGGGGGTGAGACATGGAGTTCCAAAGAAAAGGGGGGAGAATGTCTGAAAGCTCACTCACTGCTGGTAGGACATATCGGGCGGGAGATATAAAGCAGGCCAGTGTTTGCTGAACAGAGGGAGTGGCTGTGTTTCTAAGATTTCAGGAGGGTGCAGAGGTAGGGTGGAGCAAAGCCATAGAGAATTTGAATACGAGGACAAGGAGCTTGAATTGGATTTGCTGGGGACTGAGGAACTAATGGTGGAGCCCAGCAAGGATGTGGGTGATAGCTGATTACTGAGTTGAGAGAAAGCTAAGTAAGTGAAAGCCGGGATATAGGGCTTGAAAGACAGTTGGAGTCAAACAAGGTTCAGCACCATCTTACTGAGGTGGAGGAATAATCTATACAGGTTGATGTTGTCAGCACCTGAGGTGAGGAGGTGCTGACAGGAGCCAAACTGGAAAACCTTGGTCTTGTTGACGTTCAACTGAAGTTAGAGCTTATTCAGGTCTTGTTGTGGGACAGGCAATTAGTCAGAACAGGAGTGTTCTTAGAATTGAGGGTAGAGGCCGAGAGATAGAGTTGGGTGTCATCCACATACATGTGGAAATGGACCCATGGCCTGCGAATGATGTCAGCAAAAAAATGGTGAAAAGGAGGCGATCTTGAGGAACTTCGCATGTGACTGTGTGGGGGTAGGATTAGAGAATTAGAAGAGAGAAAGTGAAGACACTAAAATAGGTCAGGAAAGGACAGAACCTTGAAGAAGAATCAGGGAGGAAAGATGGTGGAAAAGGATGGCGTAGATGATTGTGTCAAGGTGGAGAGGACGACAAGAGGAATAAAGAGGAAGAGACAGCTCTGTTCGTAGATGGAGAGAATGCCATTGGCAATGTTGGCCAGGGCAGTATACATGTTGTGTGCAGTGTAGAAACAATGCAAGAGCCTCAAAAAGGGAGTGGTAGGAGAGGACGACACAAAGTTGGGAAATGACATTCATTTTTGGTACTGAAATTTGTGATTGAATGTTCAATATCAGCTCAAATTCAGATGGATTAACTTTTATCAGCCGACTTTATGTGGTGGTGAGAGGTAAACAGAATAGGCCTGTCTGATAATTTCCTGCCAAGGGCAATGCGCCTGCCGCTATGCTTCACAACAATATCACAATGTCAAAACATGTCAAAAAATCAAAAGTGGTTTGCATGATGAAGTTCTTTTAGCTCATTTGAGCTGACCCATCCAGAATATAGTCTTCCCATTAGATCATCAAACTGTTTTTAAATTGGTCTAGCCTTCTGGTATTTGCTGCTGTTCCCGAGGAAGGGATACTGGTCTAATCATCTGTTTTAAAACAATATTCTTATTATTGCTCCAGCTGTTGATCACACACTGATTAACAAACTATTTCCCGGTATCCCACGTTTTCGCTTCATAACCTGAAGCCTGTCATCTCTTGTCCTATTGATTTTGCATATTGTTTGGTCTTATTCTTTCTCAATCCCAATTAGAACCTTGTATGCTTCTGAAGTCCTCTGAGATGTCTCCTTTCAACAACAAAACTTGCATATCTAGAGCCCCATTCATTTAGGGTAGCGTCGCGGAGGTTGTCTTCAGCACGAGCTGATCTAGTCATTGCAAATCACTCATCGTTCTCTTTTTGGCCTGGCAATCTAGTGTTTTCTGGTTAAGATAATTTATCTAAAAAAATCATTGCCCAGTGACTGAACCACACTTGAAGTCTGTTGTGCATGCTGTGAGTTGTGGTCTGCTACAGTGTTGTAGCCTGGAGCCCTATGATCAGACTAAAACTCTCAGCATGTCAAGTGTAGCCTTCAGCCAATCCTGTCTGTCTTAATAACTTCCTCTTTTTATGAAAACAGCTGCTGTCGGGTCTTGGCTGCCAGGACAGTGCACAGAGCCTTGCTAATTGGTAACAAAACAAATAGCTGTAATTCTACTTTTAATTGAATGTATGAAGATTGGAGGTTTTGATACCTTTTCTAGCTAAGATGGGAAGCATAATGGGGAGCAGTATTAAATGGAAGACTGGTAACCAGTTCACATATGCAGAGGAGAATAATGATATTGTTTTAAAGCTGGTCATTAGACCAAATATTTGAGTTGATTTTATATTCCAAAGGTCATCATATACCTTTATAGTCCATTTCAGTTGAATGCAAATTCCAGGGTATATTAGCACAGCATTTACATTTTAAGGCTGCTCAGCTGGTTACCAGCAAGTATTCAAGTTGCCTTGTATCCTAATCTGACTTTGGGGCTCAATAGTGATGCTTACACAATATGGGATTTCATAGACCTTGTGGCTTCTGTCTAATGACTCTAGTGATAGTTGATGGTTTTCTCTGAAGGTATGGGAAATAGCTCCAAGATTCAGGCCTGCAACCCACAGAAATGAACCTTTTGTTACATATGAACTGATGCCTCATTCATTGACCTGACAGCTTTATGTAGTTTTTTTAGTATACAAACATTTTTTTCACATATGATTATGTGTGATATGATTGTTTAACTTTTAGACTGCAGCTGACCTGTAAAGTTCGAGAACTCTTTAGTTCTCATCAATTACTTTGTAATTTATTAATTAAGGTAATGAAAGTTTCAGGGTTTAAAGATTTGACAATCCTATTTGTCAAAATCAATATTTTGCTTGCTGATTTTTGTTCTTCTGATTTGGATGTTTTTGTGCCTCTTGTTTCACATATTTCTCACCCCTGTGGAAGAACATGTAAATGTCAAGTAGTTTGACAGGATTTTGTCAAATGGAGAGAAGATTTTAGATTTATAAGTTTTGACAATTGACAATCCACCCCCATCACCCATGTCTGCAAGAAAATAGCTTGTGGTACATTATATTACAATTCAATTTAATTCTTTGAATAAAATCCTTCTTAAAAAAAATCTAAACTCTTTGTAAATGTCTGGTCATTCTTTGAAATTTGACTTCAAAATATGATTAAAATGTGAAGTGGGAGTTCACATATTACTTTTCTCTGACAATTCATTAACTTAGTAAAAGGTCAAAGAAAGAATAAATTCAAATGCAGCGCAAGCCTCCATCCACCACACTTTGTTGGCTTTAAATCCTATTTTCTACCACTGCGATACTCTTTGTTTAAAAATTGTCCATATGCCAATATTGTAATATTTATATTTGTAGATTTTTTTTTCAAAATTTCCCTCTAGTCCTTTGAATTTTGTGATTATTCATAGCTCCTTATTTAATGGTTGCAGTATTCCCATTTTACCATTTTGTTCTTGCAGATGTGACAATTTGTTTATACCCTGTTTATCAATTTCCTGGTAGGATTTACAATTCAGCAAACAAGATAACACGACAGCAGGATAACTCCCTCAGTTTTCTGCCTTGTATTTCCAATTTCGAGGTCATATACCCACATTTGGGGAAGTCTATTGTACTTGCAGAGCAAAGGCACTCTTTTTCTCCATCTTACCATGATTTTATTCCATGTTTTTGCATCTTGTTCTTGTCTTGTTTCGTGTGATGTGTAAGACAGCAGTTCCCCATTCTGTTTAGTGAAGAAGAATATTAGACAAACTGGGGCTCTTCAGAATTGAGAGAAGACTCAGGGGACTTCATAAAGGTATATAAAATGTTAAATGAGATTGATAAAATAAACTCAGATGACTACTTAAGGATGCAACAAGACCGTAGAACAAGGAGGTTTAGAGTTGTTCAGAAAGATACCAGAAAGTTTTTCTTTACTCAGTGGATAATCATGACTGGAACAGGTTGCCAGAAAGTTTAAAGCAAACTTATCCAGAATTTGTAGCAGAAGTGAAAATGCTTCATTCAAATTATAGTTAAAGTCATTTTCTGTAATTTCTCCCTCTGTTCCTGTAGGAAGTGGGATAGTCTGTGCTTGGGGGTGGAATGATGGAAATGTAGATTTTATTTTTGAGTAGGAATCCACCTTCCCTCACACCATGGTGCAGCCTGACAGTGTTTCGGAGACTGGCCTGTGAGTATGCCATTGCTTTGGAATTTGACACTCGACCGAACAACAGTGTTATTGTAATACAGTGCATGGAAATGCTAGTTGATTTTGGCAAGATTGGCCTGGTGTATTGACTGGTTGATGGCAAGCTTGCACCTGCCTTTTCCTAATGTTGGTGTTCCAGTTTGGGGAAGGGAGAAATGGTAAACAAAGGTCAGTTATCCTGAGCAATTATTATTCTACTTCCTGGAGTCTGCTAGCAAGGAGAGTCAAAGTAGCAGCCTTTAAAATGAATTAAGTGCCAAAATATCAGAAGGTGTGTTTCTCTATGTGTATCACATAGAAATGGTATTTGTGAATTTTAAGTGTACTCGTAGACAATTCAGTCATTAGAGAGTTGCATGTGACCATTATTCATTATTTCTCTGTTTCTTATCAATGGCAATGAGGCTGATTTGACAGAATATAAATTATTGTTGAAATTAATCTTGTATTTTTTATAATATCCACTGTAAGTAAAATGGGTGTGTGCTGTGTGCTGAAAGTGCAGGTTGCCGAAGGTTAAAGGGAGTCTGTGTTCTTTTCAAAATGCCTAATCAGGCAAGAGCAGGACATTTCTGCTTGCAGAAAATATTGCAGCGAAAGTCAGGCATAGTAAAGGATCAGAAGCAATTATCGTTGGAGTGCCTGAATAAACCGTTGCTCTTTAAGGCTGCAGATGCTTATCTTATAGTTTTTATTGGCAAATACAACCCAACTGCTCGAATTTACATGCAAGTCCAGTTTAGTCCAAGAGTTAATTGTCTCCGTGGTTGGCAGCCATTGCTGTGTCTGCCGTCTTGACATTGTTTACAAGGCAGTTAGAAAGATCTTTTTCTCCTCGTTAGGTGAAGTGTATTTTCCTTGCAGCGTTTTATTTTAAAAAATACCCTTTTTTTAAAAAAAAAGGTCCTGTATTAATCTGATTTTCTTGAAGAGAATTCCTCTTACTCTTTTTGCAAAGATAATTGCAGGTTTACCCCCGCCCCTCGATACTAAAGGTTGTTGCCATAGTGAGCACTAAATAGAAATGTTTTAGTTCAATAGTCCAATAACTGGTGTTGCTGGAAACAAGTGCTACCCAGATGTGTTTCAGGTGAGAACCTGAAACCAAATAATACTATGTATTTGGATGATACCAATTTAAGAAACATACTGCAGCAGCATTGAGGAAAGAAAGGACATTGATTTGATTCCCGTTCTCTCAGTGCAGTTACTTGTTCACAGAACTTATCACTGACATCAGGTGAGAAAATATTGAGGTCTCGAGTTAAACCGAAAGCTTGCAACACTTTAGGTATACGGCATATTGCTTTAAATAACTATTTCTCTTTTCAACAAGGAGTTAGTGACCTGATGTCCTTTTAAAATATTATGAAAATGTCCATGGTAAAGGGAAAACTACATTCCATTGGAAGTATTTTCCCTTCCAGTGACTTTCTCCTTCGTAAACAATATTTTCATATTGATTTGTGACAAATTGCTGGTATTGACTGTCCACCATCTCTTACTGTGTCTTAGATTGATGGGGGTAATGTACTAATAATAAATAATGGCTTATTACATCTTCGAGACGTCTCAAAGCGCTTCACAGGATATACTGTAAAGTGTAGTGACTGGCTTGTGGGCAAAACGCATGAAATGTAGCAGAAAAACTGAACCAGCACATGGCTGTGTTGTAGGTTTCTCGAGATGTTCCTGTTTACAGTTGTTACCACGTATGAAGAAGCCAATAAGGAAGCTTCAGTTTCATAAAATACATGGCCTGCACTTGCACCAAACATTGTCTTTATCATAGGAAATCAAAAACGGTTCTAGATTTGTTTACTGTTCGAGTCCTACTTAACCAACCACCTCCATTTCATCTCGGTAAATGGGTTCTCCACCTGCGGAGTACCCCGGGTCTCCATTCTTGGCCCTCTTCTTTTCCTTACCTAGATGCTCCCTCTGGGCGATGCCATCTGCAGACATGAGGTAAACTTCCAAATGTATGCAGATGACACACATTCTTTGCTTCCTTCAGTACAAACTCCAGGTTCGCCGATGTTCTATTAGCTTGTCTGGCAGACATCAGGGCCTGGATGAGGGCAAACTTCTGCAGCTGAATATGGACAAGATGGAAGCCATACTCCTTGGCTCCCGTCAAAGTCTTCACTCCTGTGGATCTAAACTTCTCAACTTCCCTGGGCTCTCCCTCAGACTCACCGAACCAGTGCGCCATCTAGGCGTCCGGTTCGACCTCCAACTGACTTCCCCCCCCAACATCCGGTCCCTGACTAGGACTGCCTTCTTCTACCTCCGCCACATTGCCCACCTCCGACTGTACCTTACCCCAAATGCAGCCGAAACCCTAGTCCATGGGTTTGTCACCTCCCGCCTGGATTACTCAAACACACTCCTCATTGGTCTCCCCAGCTCCACTATTCAAAAAATCGAGCTCATTCAGAGCTCTGGCACCCACATACTGACCTGGACCAAACACCTTACCCACATCTCACCTGTTCTGGCCAGGCTCCACTGGCTCCCTCCCCATCACCGAATAATTGACTTCAAGATCCTCACAATTGTGTACAAATCCATTCAATCCTTGGCATCTTCCTACCTCTCCGACCCCCAATCCACCATCCGGTACCTCTGCTCGAGTGGCACCAGCCTCCTACTCGTCCCTCGCACCCTCCGCCCCACCATCCTGAAAGTCTGGAACACTCTCCCTCAATCCCTCTGCCTTGCCCCCTCTCTCCACCTTTTCAAGTCCTGCCTGAAAACCTTCCTCTTCAACAGTGCTTACGGCCACCTACACCCTCACCAACCCCACCCCAACCCCCCTCCCCCCACCCCCACCCACCTGGGCTCGGAGTGAGACTCCACTACTGTTAAGTGCTCTGAGACATTACCCTGTGATGAGTGCTATACAAGTGCAAGTTGTTGTTGTAATGCTTTCTGTTTTGAATGCTGTCTGTTTGTTGCTTTTTTTTAGTATCAGTAGATCAAAAAAAAAATGTGATTACTGCCCCAAAATTATGAGAAGCTGTACTCCTGGTACCTCTGTCAGTAGCTGCCTCTTAAATCATAGCATGTTTGTATTCAGTACAGGATCTTGAATACATTAATCAACAAGCCAGTTAAAATTCACAAAGGGTTCTTTCCATGAAATTTAGATTTCTAAATGATATGTTGTGGTTTTTCAGTTGGGTACTGTCCACTGTTAAAAAGGTAGTCTTTCTGGTAGTTTAGATTTATTCATGATAAATTAATTGGCTACATAGATTGATCTTCTGAAAGGGACTTCCATACAGATGTTGTCAGGACTGTATCTAAATCAAGCACATTTTTCATGAGGTTTTTAAACACTTTCCCCACTTGTTGGACTGTTAATTTTTGTTTGGAAATTATTTGTACAATTGGCATCAGCAACCAATGAGCTAGGGAGGGAGTACAAAAAATAATTCAACCTAGCTTCCTGTTCCTGATCACCATTGAGTGAATCTTGCAAGAAAAATCAGTTTGTGATGATGTTAGGATCACAGTACCAGGCTTGGTTACAATGCTCCATGGTTGCATACCATGTAACTATTGTTTGTTTGCTAATGAAGAATATTTGCTTGAACAAAGTATCGTAGAAGTCACTGGTTTCCAGAGGAAAGAGTGAGGGAGAAAATGGGGAGGAAAAAATATATGGGGTGGGGGACATTAATAAGGAAAAGAAACTGCAAGATATAGATGAGAGACTGGTAAACAAAACCGTTTCCATGTGAGTGAGATGCACACAGTGAGAAATCGAGTAGATGTTCAGAGGGGAAGTTACAGAAATGGAAATTGCAAAAAGAAAACCGACTAAAACAGAATGCCTGGCTTAGGGAGGGGATGAATCAGCCAGCCGCCCTGCTCTTGATGCTTCCCAGTTTCTCCTGTTGGAAAATCTGCAAGTATTCGTGTCAGCTGAGGCTTCGACTCGGCTGTGGTGCCCTGTCTAGTAATCTCAAACGTTACTTGAAGAGTTGTCAATTGGATGGCAGCTGACACCCATAAAACTCTACCTGAACAAGAATTTGTGGTCAGGAGATGAAGAACACATTGGGGGATGGGGGTTATTGACCACATAATAAATTAAAGCAAAGTGTTAAGGTGCAAGAATGACCAAACTTGATCAATGGGAAAATTATAAGGGTGTTAAGAAATCCTAAATTTTAAGTTTAAAATGAAAGTTCCCATACTGCATTCTGAAGTCATCAAAAGATATGATGATGTCACCTCTAAAACGGATTCAGCTGTGTTATCAAGGTAAGAGGCAGGAATGCACAATTGTATCTAGATTATGGCAGCATCTACCTCTGGTCAGTAGAACTTCGAAAATACTTATTAAACATGTTTTCGACATTGTCTTTGCTTTGCTTTTTAAGAGGCTCAGCCTCATAAATGCCAGCAGTTAGCTTGAGTTATGAACTGAAGGTTCTTCTGTTCCCTGTTGGAAGATGCATTGGTTGCAAGTTAGACACTTAAATCCATAGATATTAGAATATTTTGCTTTATATCCTCACATGCTTAACATCATTATTATTGTTATTATTATGCTTAACATCGCCCTTCACCCACTCTAAAAAAATATGCAGTACTGTTGATTTTTGAGTCACTTCTAACATAATCTTATAGCAGATATTCCACAGTGTATTTATATCATTGACTGTGAAATTTCTGTTCTCCAGTATATGAGCAATGTGGATTCATGGTGTAAGGCCTGTGGGGAAGTGGAACTTCCCTCAGAACTGCAGGATTTGGAGGATTCAATTCACCATCACCAGGGTTTATATGAACAAATAACATTGGCATATTCTGAGGTAAGTGAATGTGGACACCAGGAAAACAGTGCTGCACTAATAATAAGATTTTACAAAAATATGTACATATGCAAAAGTCGTAATCAGTTGTTTTTCTGTGGGATTTGTGGCAGTTTTTGATTAAGACAATTCCATAAGACATTTTGTCTCTTGGCATTAATTCATGGGTCTTTTTTTCCAGCTTATCATGTCATCCACTCAAAAACATACTTTGATTCAATTATCTTTGTACAGTTGTACTTTTCTTATGTTCATATGTTCTTATGTTCATGTTGAATTTCTAAAATTTAAAAAAATTTCTATGCAGCTTTCTTCTGATTTTTAGAAATCATAAACTTTCAAGATATTTCTGAAACCCAATTCTGAATTTAGAAGTGATGTTTTAAAATGGTAACTGCGTAGTTTTCCAATGTAGAACAATGATATGTTTCCCGGTACATTCCAGCCCTGCCCACTCGAACTTTGGTTTACAGAGCTGAGGATATGTCGACACCCTCAAATAAGTCTGTAAGACTGGCCAACCATCAAGAGTGCCTTAGATGACTGTGACCCTGCCTTGCTTTGCCAAGTGGATCTGTTTTGAGCCAGTGCACCCTAGGATGACTTGCAATTTTCACATGTGGTTTTATTATCACAGCTTATAATTATCACATAATATTTATTCTTCACCCCAATATATGAATGAAATGCCACTCAATTTTGAGTTTTTAGAAGCTCCAATGCCCTTAATTTAGTTTTTCACTTTGTATTCATGATGTATTAACCTCTGCAGGTGAGCCAAGATGGGAAGGCTCTGCTAGATAAACTCCAACGACCTCTAACCCCCGGCAGTGCTGACTCATTGATGGCGACTGCCAATTATTCAAAGGCTGTTCACCATGTGCTGGACATCATCCACGAGGTCCTCCACCACCAGCGACAGCTGGAGAACATCTGGCAACATCGAAAGGTTCGGCTCCACCAGCGGCTCCAACTCTGTGTCTTTCAACAGGATGTACATCAGGTGAGTGCAAGTTTGATCTTCACCATGTGTGCTCTGGACATTTAGAGAAAGGTAATTCCTTTCTTTAACATCAAATTGAACAAGTGTTTCCTTGGTGTGTCAGCCTAGACCATGATATTGGGTCTTGTTTTAGAGCCTAAACAGAGGGAACATATTTCAGGCCTACACATGAGAGTGCTATCACCTGAGGCAAATGCGTACCATTGTTATAACATTTGCTCATCGTTTCTTACCTCAATTATTATTAGTAGTACATTAGAGCTTTAAAAAAAAGGTATGTTTGTAAAATTATGACTTCCCCTCACTCCACCGTGTTCCAGCAAATTAAATAGATAGGAAGCTCCAGGGGAAAATTATTTGGAAGAGTTCTGTCAATGCAACTTTTAAAAAGAAACTTTGCTAGAGGTGAATAGAAAGTGGTGGGGTAAGGTGTACATCAACATTTAACCTCTGTCTTCATCACGCTGGCTCGGGTAGCAATTTACTGTTTTCAGTAAAGGAAATATGGGTTGGTTTTCTTGGCAGTTGTCATTTATCTGTGTACAAGATGAGCTCAATTGCCCCTGTAGATGTGTTGTATTTTCACTGCCTGTCAGATGTGATTAAGACAAGTCACCTACCACCAGAGCAAGCTTGTGATGATAGATGCTGGGTTTGCAAAATGAAGCATTAGAGAAAACATTTTAACAGAAGAATTTAGGTATCATTAAAAGCAACCATCAACATAAATCTTTCCTAGTTCACGACGGACCAGTGAATGGGAGCAACTAATCATAACTCATAACTCTCAATTCAGCACTTTTCAGCTATTAGCACAGTGTGTGGATCAATTGATTCATGTACCTACATACCCTTCATTACAAAGGGTACAAAAAGCACTTGAATAGTTTTAATATGTCCATGTTTATAGGTCTATGAATTACTGGAGCTTTTATTGTAGAATTCATTTGATCTGATCAAATCTTACTCCTTATAAATATAGCACCTTAAAGAAAACTGCTCTAAGTTATACTTATCCTGCTATCCATTTGAGCACTATATGATGCTTCTTCCATAATCAACATTGCCAAATTAATGCTGTTTTCCCCTAATATATATTTTTTATAATTTTTTTTCAACAACAAATGAGAAACTGACAAAGCACACTTTAGGATCCACTCACGTTGACACTTGTCTAACTGTATCTAATAATTTCCGGAGTTAGTTAGTCGGGTGGATTTCTCTGGGGAAGAGGGTGCACAATCCATTTCTGACACAAAAAAAATTCTGTGCTTAAGTGGAATACATATGTGAAACTTTTGTCTAGTTTGGATACTTGTTAAGCATGGCAGTAGGTTTTCTCATGTATGAGACATTTGGCTGACCAAAATTAAACCTTCAATGTGGACTTTTTTCAAATTAAATTTAGAGTACAAGAGTAGGGAAGTCTTGCTGCAACTGTATAGGGCCCTGGTGAGACCGCAACTAGAGTATTGTGTGCAGTTTTGGTCCCCTTATTTAAAAAAGGACATACTTGCCCTAGAGGGGGTGCAGCGTAGATTCACTCCGTTAGTTCCTGGGATGAGGGGACTGACCTATGAGGATAGGCTGAATAAACTAGAGCTGTATTCTCTAGAGTACAGAAGAATTAGGGGAGATCTCATTGAAACATATAAGATTCTTAAAGGGCTGGATACAGTAGACACTGAGGGTCTGTTTCCCCTGGTAGGAGAATCCATAACCAGGGGTCACAGTCTTAAAATTAAGGGTCAGCCTTTTAGAACAGAGTTGAGGAAACATTTCTTCACTCAGAGGGTAGTGAATTTATGGAATTCACTACCCCAGAAGACTGTAGATGCTCAGTCCTTGAACATCTTCAAGGCTGAGACTGATAGATTTTTAAAAAATAGAGGGATTAGGGGATATGGGGATAGGACAGGTAATTAGAGTTAGGTCTGAAGATCAGCCATGATCTTATCGAATGGCGGGGCAGGCTCGAGGGGCCGAATGGCCTACTCCTGCTCCTAATTCTCATGTTTTTATGTTCTTAAATATTAGCCTGGCTCAGGTGATAACACTTTTGTCTCTGAGTAAGAAGGTTGTGAGTTCAAGCCCCTCATAGTCTTGAACTCACCCTTATGCTGTTGAATAATAATAATCCTTGCATTTGATATAGTGCCTCATCATGTCGGTGAGACATCTCAAAGTGCTTCACAGAATATATTGTAAAGTGGGTTGACTGTGTATTTTGTGGGTGAAATGTGGCAGCCAAATGCGCACATCAGTGTCCCAAAAACAGACCAAATTATTATAATTTTTTTTGTTAGTGATTATTACACCTGGAAAGCAACCCGCCAACAACTGAGTTCCTACTTACTGTTAGGTAAACAGTGTGTGAAGTAAGGAAAGTTACCTAAGGTTTCACTCCGGCCAGGAATCGAACCTGGGTCCTTTCACATGCGAGGCGAATACGCTGACCTCTACGCTACCTGACTCCACATTTTTGAGATTCCATTTTTACGCCTGTTTTATTTCTTATGAGTCAGCCAGTTTCTAGTCCACTTCAGAAATCATATCCCTCTATTTCATGGCTTTGAACCTTGTGGTCCAATCTCCTCAATGATACAGAGAGTTGCTACACATGCTTTGTAACACTGCACTGTCGTATAATACTGTTCTTTCATTACAGATAATTAGTTTGTCCTAATCTCCTTTCTTCAGTTAAAGCTTCTGTATTACATCTCATATTATGCACAAAGGGTCAGTGGTTATGTATGATTACATCTCTAAGAACTCTAATTAGCAGCTTTCAGAGCAGGTATTCTTTTTAACTTTATAACCAGCTTTATATGCTGCCACTAATAAGTCGAGGAGTAAGAATTGTACAAACCAGACCCCTGCTACTTTGTGAAGCCATTTGCTACTTACAGCTTTGAGCTATTCTGCCCCCACTCTCAGGAACCCCGTACCAGAGGCCTTCCATCTCACTCCCCAACTTTAAAGCCCACCTTGACTTTTCTTTTCGGCCACACTTCTGATCACATTTCTTTCCCTTTCCTCTGCTTCCTCCCACATCCAGCACGAGAAGACTGGAGAAGCAGGAAAAAGCTTATTATCTGATAGGCAATGCTTCCCTCATCTTTCGCCTCCAATCCCATCTTTGTGGAGTCCTGTAGCTCAGTGGTTAGAGCACTTGCCTTGCAAGCGAGACACCTGGGTTCAATTCCAGACAGGGCGAAACCTTGGGCAGGTTTCCTTACTCCACACGCCTAATAATAATCCCTCCAAAACAAAAAACAATAATAAATTGGTAATTTTCATACCACGACTGTTTGTGGGACATTGCTGTGCGCAATTGGCTGCCGAGTTTCGCCCACAAAATGTACATTCAATTCACTTTACAGTATATCCTGTGAATATCTTTGAGACGTCTAAAAGACGTGAAAAGCGCTATATCAAATGCAAGGATTATTATTATTATTTCGCTGGGATGCAACATACTAGGCAACTCGGTTGGTTGAGCTAGACTAGAATATTTGGTGATTGATTGCTGAGGGGCTACTCAGTTCTTCACTCTTTTGAGGTCAATAAAATGAAAATCGTGTTTAAAACTATCCTCTTGGAAAGAGAAGGTAAAAAGGTTCTCGCTGAGGCTAACTGGGTATGAGGAGACACCTAACAAAGCCAGATATATCTATAATAATCCAAGTAATTGTTGTGGATTCACCATTCTTTCCAGTGATTTAGACAGTGTAGGTATACTATCACCTCTGTGAGCCACAACCATAGCAAATAGGATGATTTTAGCTGAACAAGTTCCTTGCTACACATTTAACATTATATTTTTCTGTTCGAACTTTATTTTTCCCTGTTTCACTGGAAAAAAAAATATTTCCTCCAAAGCTCCGTATACACTGCCCTAACCACTGTTCCTCCTCCCTGCATCTCATTGGGTTCAACTCAGAACTCATGATGTTATTGGCCATTTTAATTCACTGCTTCTCTAGACCTTCATCTGGGTTTCTGAATTAAAAAAAACCCATTGGTTGCACATTATTTTGCACAGTCCTCCTGCACTAACGCTGGGTTTATATTGCACAACTGTTTTCTGAAGTGGCCCTCCAATGCTGGCTGCCACTTCTGTCGTTGTAAAAACTAACCTGTTTAGATTTCACGATATACTCTAGTCTAGAGCAATTGAAGCAGCTATAAACAGCTCAAGCATATTTCTCTATTTTATTTCTTATTCCTTTGTTTCCCTTCTAATATCTCCCATTACCTATACCTAAAAAGGAGTCAACAACAGGAGTATGGGGAAAGGGCAGATTAATTGGATTGCTCTTAAAGGAGCCAGCGTAGACACGGGTTGAGGGGGAAGGTTTCAAATTATTGGAAATTGTACCCACTTATACTGCTTAACTTGTGAAAATTCTCCTTAAGATGCACAGTACTAAATATAGACGCAATCTTCTGTGGCCTGCAATTGATGGAAATTGAGGTGGAAATTTATCCATATCGGTTAGTGAGAGTGAAACTACTGTTTAATTACTCCAGTTTATTACAGGACAACCTAGTTATGTTCACTTATAATGTGATTCAGTTGTGAACCAGGACATTTTCTCACCTGCAAATCAATCGGAGTCCTGTAGCTCAGTAGTTTGAGCACTTGTCTCGCAACCGAGAGACCTAGGTTTGATTCCTGGCAGGGCAAAACCTTGGGCAAGTTGCTTTACTCCACATGCCTGATAATAATCCTTCGAAAATAAAAGTAATAATAAAAATTGGTCACTTCAATCCACGACTGTTTGTGGGACACTACTGTGCGCAATTGGCTGCCATATTTTGCCCACAAATACAGCCAATTCGCTTTACAGTCTATGAAGCGCTTTGAGATGTCTAGAGGACGTGAAAAGCGCTATATCAAATGCAAGGATTATTATTAATGGTACCATCCGAACTAAGTGCCAAAAAAAAGACCAACTTCTGAGTCGTCAAGTCATCGCTGGCTTTACAAGGGGTTGCTCTGTGTTGAGCAATTTTGCTTATGTTGAGCAGGGGTGGAGGTGAGGGGCATTCTGAGCTCCATTAGTTCTACACTCTCTCAACCTGTCAGAGTAACACACAAGAGATTGGCAATTATTTTTAGTTGTGAATCAACTAACTCAGCATAGACAGGAGATCGATGCCTTTAGTTTCTTGATCTGCAAAAGCACCTCGGCTGCAATAAGCTTTTGGAGCAAATCCAGTGCACCCCATGTTGTGGTCTTGCTGGGAATTTCAGGGTTCAACAAAAATCTAGGCATCACAGTTTCTGTGTATAATAGAAAAGTTACGGTGTGGATCAGATTTTAAAAAAAAGCTTAATTAACATAATTGAAACAAATGAAAACATATGTTTAATTTTCCATGAATTTCACTTCATAGCACAAAGGGGAGCAGTAAATGTTGGATGGAATTTGCTTCATTGCCTTTCTTAGGTGTTACACACAACAGCATACATTGTTAAGAATGAAATTTATACCCATTTTATGACCTCCTGTAATGTTTGGATAAAAATAAAGGTTTATTTTTAAAAATGGAATTATATAAAATTGTAAGCTCTGAAAATGCCCAAATCATCTCATTTCACGTCATGCCTTTTCACTGTCTTTCTCTTAAAACTCCGATTTGTGTTTTTAAAAAGAAAAACATTTGTGCCCTCAGCAGTTGTAGTAAAATCGGATAAAAAGATTGCATCCTGGTGTGAACGTCACCTCTGTGACTTCTGTAAGCAGTGGGTAGGTTGAAAAACAATTGCTGCATCGATGCATGAGTCCTGCTGCTAAGTTTGCATTGTGGCTTGTATTTTGGATTCCCACCAACATTTCACTGGAAAATCTCAGGCCATAAATACACCGCTGTGATGCATTTAATAGTCATAATGGTTCATTTTTCCCTTCATTATGATTATTTTAAAATATTGTGATTATGATTAATGAACATAAAACAGCTCCCAGCAGGCGAATATGAGCTTTTGCCTTATTTGAAGATGGTTACGTTTACCAGAACAACTGCAAACCGAACCTGTTGATTCTCACTGAAATACCTATGTTTTATGACTGTAATCAAAATAATTCAAAATGTAGAACCTGATGCAGAGTTGTATTAAATTTGTAGGTGTTGGATTGGATTGAAAACCATGGTGAGGCCTTTCTCAGCAAACACACTGGAGTGGGGAAATCTCTGCACAGAGCCAGGGCCCTGCAGAAACGACACGAGGATTTTGAGGAAGTCGCACAGGTGAGAGGACATATCGGGTTTGAAAGCTGACATGACTGTTCTGGAGGGAAGAGTCAAAACAATTTTTTTCTAAATTGCCGTCTGTGTGTTGATGATGGTTTCTGTTTTCTTGCAAAGCTTATGTTTTGTTCCTTATTTGACAACACGGTGATGTATTGGCATTAGGTTTATATATGGCTCCATGTGGGATTGGCAGTACATAATTAGTTTAAATTTGGCTTTTCTACCAAATTCCAGAAACTCCTGAATATATGGAACTGACCGTTTTATTTAACACTCTTTAAACACTGACTGGAATGTATATTATTTCCAGCACCTTGTATTTTGTTTTTCTTAAACAATATAGTAGACATTATTAGTGGTGTCACTGTGCAGAAAGCCAGCTTGCCTTCCAGCACTAAAAAATAGCCAAAGAACAGGTCATCAGGTTGTTGCGAACAGCACATCCTGCACACAACATATAGTCCGCAGGGCACCCATGTTATAAGTGAACCTACGTAACAAAGTGTGATATAAATCATTTCTACTGTGATAGATTTGCAAAGATAATAAGGGGGGTTTGCTCATGGAATTCAAGTCTTTGTTAAGCACACAGTTAATTGTGGCTCTCAAAAAAAAATCCTCCCTTTCTTCATGTCAATGTCTTTGTTTCCTCTCATCTACCCTGTAGCACTTTCCAGATGCTTGGACATATAGTTAGAAAGAGAGTAAGGAGTAATCCATTGTCTATTATAAAAACAACATTAACATTGTGCACCATAATTGCAATGGATGATATTTCAGAATTTATTTTTTCTCTCTCTCTCTGGGGAAGGGTGACTTTTGTGTGCATTAATCAATAAGATGTTGGTTGACTATTCAGTTACAGTTGCATGGGACGGTGGTGCTGGGAATGGAATGCGCCCTCAATGTTTTTGTATTATGACACAAAATGCTTAAAGTATGCAATACAGTCAGATACTGTAACTTGATAACTTGATCATATTACAATGAGCTTCATCTTACTGCACACCCTACATACACACGCTGTTTGTATAATATGGGAGAAATGCAAGACTAAAGCATTTCACAGTTCAAAGTGGTTTTCCTGATTTATTTCAAATTATTCCACATCTTCATTCTTCCGAAGGATATTTTGAAAAGGAAAATATTTGGTTCACATTTCCCAGCCCAACTATGCCTTCTTTCCTCCGTAATCTATTCGACAGTACCTAAGGTCACCTCCCCCTCCCCCCCAGCTCGGAGTCGTGCTCCGCCACTGACGAGGGTTTTGGGAGGGGGCGCTATGTAAATGCAAGTTGTTGTTGTAATCAACTCAGCAGCAGGCTGGATTGCAAGCCAATTCAGTTACTTCCCATCAATCTCTCATCAGTCTGCCCAGAGTCTTAAGTGGTCAGCCTCAGTAGGATAGTGTAGGTGTAAATTTAAAATAAATTGAAACCCAAATGCCGTTGAGTTAAGGTCATGTTTTAAACCACAAGAGCAAAGCCAGGTTCTATCTAATTTGTAACACTTAAAACCCTGTTTTGGAAGAACTTCTAAAACTAAAAAATTTATGACAAACATGTGTTTATATAAATTATTTATTGTGGGAATAGGATTGGTTTAGTCCGGTTCTCTACCAACACTCATTATCTTAACATTTCTTAACCATTATCTCTGTGTCTTTTGCTGCCTGGCTCTGAGGCTATGGATCTGGTGGAGAGCATTCTTATTGTTCCCATCTACTTCTCCACACACATGCTTTATTTCTACAATTCCCACTGGCCATTTTTTGACATGTTTTAAGTTTGTGAGAAATGATTGTCTTTTTAATTCATTTTTATTGGTTTGCTTTCTCTCGTGGGTAGATTTTCCACTGACCTTGATACTGAAATAGATGGACACACCATTCAGTTGACTGTTGCTAATGACTGTGTTAATAAATTTATGATACATTCACTGCAGTACAGTATTAACAAAATATAGTTCATTACTGTGAAGTAAGATTCCAGTGGGCATTGCAATATTAGCATAGTGGCTGGCAACCCTGTTTATATCGCAGGATAGATATACTTTTTCAGATCAGATCAGATTTTGTGAACTATAGAAAATAAATGAAATGTAGTCCCAGGACAAAAAATGTCTGAAGATCTCTGCAACTGTTTCACATATTTGGAGCTTAAGATGTCAGCAAGGCAAGTTGTGTTATAGGTTGATGAAGACAGGATTGTGCTATCTTGCCAGACAGCACCCTGTAGCAGCTCCGAGACGTTACCAGTTTTCAATTAGATGACAGTTTGAATCCACAGAATTGATGCTTGTTATTTGGACAAAAGGAGGCCTAATTTCTTTGCGTTTTACCTCAGAGGAGAATGCAGTTGATTTTAGTTCATGGTGGAAGCTTGCTAACTGGAAATACATGAAATTCACCTTCATTTCCTAATCAATAATATAATCTTTGCATTTGAGACAGCGCCTCATTACGTCTTTGAGACGTCTCAAGGTGCATTACAGGTTATACTGTAAAGTGACTTGACTGTATATTTTGTGGGTGAAACGCGGCAGCAAATTGCGCAGAGCAGTGTCCCACAAACAGTTGTGGATTGAGTGATCGAATTATTATTTTTTTTGAAGGGATTACCACCCCAGAACAACTGGGTATTAATAATAGGGTTGCTACTTACTGCTAGGTAAACAGAGGCGTGAGGAGTAAGGAACTTGCCCAACATTTCGCCCTGCCCGGAAATCAAGCCCAGGTCCTCTCGCTTGCGAGGAGAGTGCTCCAACCACTGAGCTACAGGACTCCAATTCTTGTATGATGCTCTTTATACAGGAAACCCCTGGTTTATCGGATCCGGGGACTCGGGATTCGGACTTACCTGGACCAGGCCCAAAACAAAATTAAAAAAAATAAACAAATTCCCTGGGCCCGCACACATATGGACTCACTCCCATCTTACCTGGCTTGCTGGCCTTCAGTGGTCAGGTACCGACTTTACTGAGTAAGAATCCTGCGAGTAGAAGACAACTTTTGCTATCCTCTTCTCTCAGGATTCAAACAATTTACCAGCATTTCTTGGCACTGAAAAAAGCTGAAAAAATGACTTGTATTTGAAAGGATTAGACAATTTATTCTTCACAGTTCAAGTGGATGTAATATGAAAATTTAAGCCACCCACCTTTAAACAAAATCTCCCAGATAACATTGTAAAATTGTGAGGGGTTAATTTTGTGAGAAACTGCTGCGTTCTTGGAACTGCACCCCAGCAATACACCACAACCTTCAGGAAAGGCGGGAGGGGGAGGTGATGAGTAGGAGGAATGACATTAGGCTATGTGGTTAACTTTTCAAATTTGTTTATGGAGACTTGTGTTCATTCAGGGATTGCTGTATAATTAAGTTGAATGTTTTAAGCTGTTTGAAGTTCCAAGTGAAAAACCATTAAAGTAACCTTTTTTTATTGAAATGAAAGTTGTTCAACTTTAGTGGACTGGTCCAGGTTTTCTTTTAAAGCTCTCAAGAAGAAATGGAATCTGTGGAATGACCCAAAATTGGAAGCATAAAAACAGCCAAATAGAGAACCTTCCAGAGGGAAGGGTGATGACAGAAAAGTGGTGCAGGGATGTTTTTTTGAGTAAAGCACATTTATGGCTTAGGAGCAAATAATCATAATAATCCTTGCACTTGACATAGTGTCTTTCTGTGAAGTGCTTTGAGACGTCTGGAAGGCATGATAAGGCACTATGTCAAGTGCAAGGATTATTATGATTATTTGCTCCTAAGCCATAAATGTGCTTTATTCAAAAAAACATCCCTGCACCACTTTTCTGTCATCACCCTTCCCTCTGGAAGGTGAAATGATTCCTAACTACAAAATTCTTTTATGTCAATTTTTTCTTCAGTTCTATTCATTGATTCAATGTTTCTAAGGCTTTTTAAAAAAATAATTTCTTAACATTTCCCCTGCAGTTTGTACCTGTACAAATAACGATAGAATTCTTCTTTTCCCTACCTACTGCAAACAGTATTGGTCTTCCTTCATCTTTAGTTCTGCTGTCCTTCAATCTACTGACATTTATATCGATACAAAGCTCTTTGTGTTGAAGTGGCTTGATAATACCACAGATTGTAACCGGGTTTTAAAATTAAATAGAAGCATATTTGGGCATTACTTAGAAGCAATGCTAATTTCTGCTATGTTAGTTTGCTTTGCTTTCTTGCTTTGTCACTGGAGCGTCCCCTAGTGGTGATTGATCCCAGGATGTTAATTTACAAATGTGGATAGGATTGGAGGGTCTCTGAAAGAAATGCCAATTGAGGTTAATTTAATCAATTCTGTTGATGATCTTTTTAAAATTTCTGTCATCTGAGCACTTGCTGCCAATATGCCATTTTAACATTTCTGCTCCATGGCCTTGGCTGATTTATATCACACTCACTTTCATTTTTAATGCCTGAGATGTCCTTCCAACATAAAGGGCACTTTATAAATGTAAATTTGTTATTTGATTTTCAACCAAAACATGGAACTTTAAAAAATATATAAATTCCATTTCAGTATCACATATATGAACAAACTAAGCTTCGGAAACTTGTCAAAGTCACCAATGACGTTCTCTCCATCTGTCACCAGGGATCTTTTTGCCTCCTTGTCTCTAATCTCTCTGCTGCTACACTACAATCTCTCTGCTGATACTATTGACTATTCCATCTTTCTCTCCTGTCTCTCCTTTCTACTTCATTTCTGTTGCTCTGATTATTCCTGGTTTCACCTGTCCCAGCATCTTCACTTTATCTTCAGTGTCTTCTCCTCCCCTCCACCTAGTCATGCACAGTGTTCCTCAGGACTCTGTTTTTGGTCTTCTTTTGAATTACAAGAATTCAAAATCTAGTTCTTGTGGAAAATTGTGTGTGGAATATTACTAAAGAGTACAGCTCTTTTTAGGACTTAAAAGCATCCTGTTCCAGTGATAAAAACCTTATATGCACAGATCATTCGAATGATGCCAGGAAACACAGTTGAGCTTTTTTTTATTCCCTCTTTAGAATACGTACACCAATGCAGACAAGCTTTTGGAAGCAGCAGAACAGTTAGCTCAGACTGGAGAGTGCGACCCTGAAGAAATTTACCAGGCAGCCCACCAGCTGGAAGACCGCATCCAGGACTTTGTGAGAAGAGTGGAGCAGAGGAAGATCTTGCTCGATATGTCCGTTTCTTTTCACACCCACGTCAAAGAGGTGAGAACATTTTCTCCAGCACAAGAATAAATGTTTGTAGATATGGGTGAGTCGCATTTTCATGGACTTGCAGCTCTCACGTGAAACTTGTCCCTCCCCCACTCCTCCCAGCCCCCCATAACATTTATTCATACTTTAAAATGAAATTCACCATTCTGCATTCAAAGATTAAATATTTGTGTCAGTTGGGCTCAGTTAATAAGGCACTTGCCTCTGGTCTTGAGGCTTTTATGTGTAATTGTGGGCATTTGTGTGCCTTTCACTCCACTTCCCCACTGCAGCTCCCTCTGCTCAGAGGGTTCTGGACTGTGTGTAATGTATCTTCGGCCCAGCTCATGAGTCCCCAGGGTATATATTTGCTGATCAATAATTAAATTATCACTACTTTGGTTTAGTAGCCTTCGGATATCCTCCCGATGTGAAACACGCTCTATAAATGTAATTTTGTTGTTGTTATTGTAGTAATAATAGGTATGAAGCAACAACCAAAACTGTTGCTGCAAAACCAAAGAACATTTTCCTCTTTTGCTCCTGTCCTCTTCATTTCGCCCACAAAAAATACAGTCAATTCACTTTACAGTATATTCTGTGAAGCGCTTTGAGAAGTCTAGAAGACGTGAAAAGCACTATATCAAATTCAAGGATTATTATTAACTGGATCAATAATGAATCAATACTTGAATTGTTTTGCTTTAGCAGGTATTTGCTACAATCAATTGAGAAGCAAAATATAGTTTCCGTTCAAATCATATACCAATGCCTTGAGCACAGTTATTTTGACCATGCATGAATCAGCTTTTCCTCCTTCCTTATAGTTTTGTCTAATTTAAAACTGAGTCATGCAGAATTCTTGCGAAGGAGGGCATGTGTTACAATTTGGTATCTGTTATTTGAACTCGAATCAAAATGTAACAAATCAGCTCAGTGAAGTGCACATCTCAGAAATGATTGCTTGAGAAGAACAGCTGGCAAGTTCATTTGACAAGTCAGATATTGGTCTCCTACACTCGGTAGCAATGACAAATCTTTATCGTGAAATGTGATTTCAATCTTACCAGGAAATAGTGATTTCGTTCAGAATTAGTCATGTGAAATGCATGTTTGCCATAAATATCGTTCAGTTTTGAAACTCACTCACACTCTTCAGCTTGTGACTCACACATCAAATCAAAAGCATATGGGCTCCCTCCCTGAAGTCTGAATGAAAATCTTGCTGAACAACAAAGGATTCAATTCATTCAGGGCCCAGTATTTGTGACCACTAAAGTAAAACACCATATATCCAGATGACAACTATCTGCATTGCCTCTGATACTGAAGCTAAATTGGGCTGTGATGACAGAAATTGTATTTTAGTTGCACCCTTGAATACAAGATATCCAGGATCCTAATTTTAACAGAGCATGAATGAAGTGGCAGAGCAAGGTAAGTACAAGATCCAGGTACATACAGATTAGAGAGAGCGAGAGAGAGGCAAACTACAAACATGCAGAAGCACTTATCCACATTGTTTTGATATCCACAATGGTGCAGGTCCTAATTATTGCAGGCATTGGACTGTCCTGTAGATGGGTGCAAATGCAATATACTGCTGAAATCTATAGTCAATCAACAAACCAAAGAGTTGATTCTTATTTGATATGGCTGCCGGGTTTCGCCCACAAATATACGGTCAATTCACTTTACAGTATATTCTGTGAAGCGCTTTGAGAAGTCTAGAAGACGTGAAAAGCACTATATCAAATTCAAGGATTATTATTAACTGGATCAATAATGAATCAATACTTGAATTGTTTTGCTTTAGCAGGTATTTGCTACAATCAATTGAGAAGCAAAATATAGTTTCCGTTCAAATCATATACCAATGCCTTGAGCACAGTTATTTTGACCATGCATGAATCAGCTTTTCCTCCTTCCTTATAGTTTTGTCTAATTTAAAACTGAGTCATGCAGAATTCTTGCGAAGGAGGGCATGTGTTACAATTTGGTATCTGTTATTTGAACTCGAATCAAAATGTAACAAATCAGCTCAGTGAAGTGCACATCTCAGAAATGATTGCTTGAGAAGAACAGCTGGCAAGTTCATTTGACAAGTCAGATATTGGTCTCCTACACTCGGTAGCAATGACAAATCTTTATCGTGAAATGTGATTTCAATCTTACCAGGAAATAGTGATTTCGTTCAGAATTAGTCATGTGAAATGCATGTTTGCCATAAATATCGTTCAGTTTTGAAACTCACTCACACTCTTCAGCTTGTGACTCACACATCAAATCAAAAGCATATGGGCTCCCTCCCTGAAGTCTGAATGAAAATCTTGCTGAACAACAAAGGATTCAATTCATTCAGGGCCCAGTATTTGTGACCACTAAAGTAAAACACCATATATCCAGATGACAACTATCTGCATTGCCTCTGATACTGAAGCTAAATTGGGCTGTGATGACAGAAATTGTATTTTAGTTGCACCCTTGAATACAAGATATCCAGGATCCTAATTTTAACAGAGCATGAATGAAGTGGCAGAGCAAGGTAAGTACAAGATCCAGGTACATACAGATTAGAGAGAGCGAGAGAGAGGCAAACTACAAACATGCAGAAGCACTTATCCACATTGTTTTGATATCCACAATGGTGCAGGTCCTAATTATTGCAGGCATTGGACTGTCCTGTAGATGGGTGCAAATGCAATATACTGCTGAAATCTATAGTCAATCAACAAACCAAAGAGTTGATTCTTATTTGATATGGCTGCCGGGTTTCGCCCACAAATATACGGTCAATTCACTTTACAGTCTATTCTGTGAAGCGGTTTGAGAACGTCGAGAAGATGTGAAAAGCGCTATATCAAATGCAAGGATTATTATTATCTCCCTGAGAACTTGAAGTTTCAGCTACATTATCAGTAATGCTCAATGGCATTTCTTTATTTCCTAAGTTTCTCTATTCTTGTCATGTTATACTAAGGTTGTTTAACAAAGTAATGGTTCTGTTGCCTGAACACCTAAAGTCCAAATGCAAAACGTAGCTAAATAATAACAATTACCCTAGGGAAGTGTTGTGAACTTGTGAATGTTGCATGCGAATGAGAGGAGAGAGTCTGCACTCTGTGCTAAACAGCTTAGACGGAATCCCTGTTACACCTAGCTATACCCCCGATAACTTGGGTCTAAAAAAAGTAGCTATTGTGTTATAACGGGTCTGTAATAACAAATGTCCACCAGACCTGCTTCCGAGTCGTTAGGTCGCTGATGCGTGTAAGATGGCATTAGTCATGAAAGCCCTTGCGACATTTTCTAAAGATAGAAATACCCATGAGAATAGTTATGGCTGACAAACCTGCTTCCTCTGCACATTTCTGGAAACCACTGTCCAGAGGAAACGTGTATTCTAAGCCAAATTGTGCTCTAGTGAGCACTCATTTATGGGAGTCACCCTGTACCATGAAGCAAGAATCCTTTTGTCATAATTTTTACAGTTTCCAAGTTAGGATTTCAGTGCATGGAGACTGCTATTGGGTTATATTAGCTATTGCGCCGCTGATATAACAGGTTCATCCCGTTCTCGGCCTACCACTGGGAACATTTGTTTATAGAGCGTAACTGGCCTTGTACTTCCAAGTCTACCAGAAGGGTAGTGTGGGCTGATCTCAAAGCAGAATAGACCAGTATTTATTTTAAAAGAGAGATCTGTCCCTCTGAACATCAGCTGGAGTGACAGAAATACTGCCAGGGAAATGGGGTTAGTTTGCAGGCGTCTTCCTCCCAGCAAAAAGATAATGCTGTTCTTGGACTGAGGCCAAGAGAACACAGCAGCCGAGTGAATCATCTGATTCCTCTTCCTGTCCCCTCCAGTTTGGAGGGAGGTACTCGGTGTTCACTTGTCTCCATCACGGCAGATCATGATGGAATGGGGAACTTAAGCCTGTACTCTATTATTCTCTAGCATTACAAGTTGGTATTTCATCATCAGCTCTCCACATTATATTCTGCCCTCATTGGACCTGTACATTGATTTAAGTTGTAGAATATGAATGATTGTACTATCAGCAATTCCAGTTAAAGCACATTCCCCCCCCAAAATGTACAGTGACTATACTTCACAGCAATTGCCAGTACAATGCTTTGAGACATTTCAACTTTAAAGGTGCTTTATCAACAACAATTTACAATTTTTGAATAGTGAACCTGTGGAACAGGCTCCCCAGGGAGACAATTGAAGCAGGAAGTGTTGATTCTTTCAAAGACAGATTAGATAGTTTTCTTTTAGGAAATAACATTATGGGGTATAGTATATAGGTAGTTTGGGGCATATGTGCAAGCGCCCGCCAGGAAGATGGAAGGCAAACTAGATAGACCTTGGTCTTTTTTCGTCTAGCATTTCTTATGTTCTTATTCATATAGCACTTTTCACATTGGAGATTTGGGAAAATTCAATATCGAATGCAAGAATTTTTTTTACATACCTGCTTCTGTCCTGCTTTCACCCCAGTGCAAATTGGTATCTTAATTAGTATCAGTTTTAAATACCATAATGTAAACATGTTGATTTAACCACAACAACATCAGTGGCAATACAATTTGGAGGCACCAGGAAAAGTCTGCAAATCGCAGAACAGTCATTCATCTGGTCTGTAAATAAAGGCTCAGTGGCCAGCCAGTGCTAAATTGTGCTTTGCTGCTGCAAAAGCAGGAAGTGTCACATAATAGTTCAGTTGTTTTTTCAGACATGTGATGACTTAGCTTTCCTGACAGTGCTTCACGTACACGCACAAACAAAAAAAAAATCTGATCTGGTGTGTTAGGAAATCACTTCAACTGGAGCTTTACGGAGTACTGTGACCCACAGTAGTTTCCCTCGAAACCTGTTCTTAACCACAGACACCCATTGTATTTCACACTAGTGTTATATTTTACCTGTGGGTGTTTGTTGTTTTGTAGCTCTGGACCTGGCTGGAAGACCTACAGAAAGAACTCCTGGATGATGTGTATGCTGAGTCTGTGGAAGCAGTGCAGGACCTCATCAAGCGCTTTGGGCAGCAGCAGCAGACCACCCTGCAAGTGACAGTCAATGTCATCAAGGAAGGGGAGGATCTAATCCAGCAACTGAGGTTAGTATTTTAAGGTTTGTAACTAACTGTTGTTGTTTACAAGATAAGCACTCATTTTGGAAAAAGGCTACCTCACCAAGGTGGAGGAATATTCTTAAGGCAGATGCTTAGGTCCTCAGCCGTTAAAGGCGTACCGTGTAATATTGTTTTTAATACATTTAAAAATCGCAGTTGTGTTGTCGAGTGGTTTGATAAATAGCCTCAATTCATTTTGGATAATCCGGTAATTTGAAGCTGATCATCAGTCATCATGATTGTCCACAACAATAACAATAATAACAATAGTAATGGTAGTAATAATAACAACAATCCTTTTGCATTTGATTTAGCGCCTTATCAAGTCTTCAGGACGTCTCGAAGACTTGATGCTAATGTAGCACAATAAAGCGCCTTACGATACAGAATTATAATATTTAGTGAATAGTCTAGATTCTGAAAAGGGAGCTGGCAGGATAGTGCAGTGGCTGCAGTGTTGGAGTAATGGGATGTGCGCTTCCACTCACACGCACACGCTCAGTTCCTGAATCCCAATTGCAGGAAGGCATGGAGCAAAGGTCAGGCTCTTCCCTTAGAGAGGGTGAATTGGGGGAGAAAAAGAGAGACGTTCTCATCTGCTCCAGCACACCACCAAACTAAAGCATCAATAGCAAAAACTTGGAAAAATGGCAGCTGCCTTTCTCTGCCATGGGGTTACATGGTGCACAGATTTCAATAGAAAGATTACAGGGCGAAAATAATTTTTGCCGCTTTTACTGCACACCTAAGAGTGAAACCAATTTCTATCGGGATACTGAGCAGGAAACTTCTCATTGTTCCTTATTGTTTTCAGTGACTCCACGAAAAAAAAAGGCCAAATTTTAAATTTGTGTGTTTTTTTAAACGTGACCAATTCAAAGTTCCAAATCTGTCCTAAAGTCTTTGAGTAGATGCCAGTAGTGAGCTCAATGATTTACACCCCTCCATATCTGTGAATGTAATTGCCATCTGCTTCAGGCAGTGATAGAAGTGAGTTTCCAATGTGATTTAACACCATCTGAGACCTCCCTCTCCCCCTTTATATGATACCTTGGGAGTGAATCACTTGATCCTCTGCCAAACATGCAGAATAAACACATCATCAAAACAAACGCTTGAAAGAGATTCTTGCCTTTGAACGAATAAAATGAACAGTGAGAAAATTTAAACCCAAGAATCCAATCTCAGGTGCAGATATTGATTAGAATTGCTTCAGCTTTGTTCTTAGTTTCACACATGATCTGAATCCTCTGTTTATGCCTTGGATAGTTTTAAATGCAAACATATAATGAACAAAGCAAAGCTACCTCAGGGTCTTTCTGTTTGACTGCTGGTATTTGTATTACTATTCGTGATCTGAACAATTTATCTCTGACTAAGAATTGAGCAAGATAATAGTTGATTTAAATGTTTATAATTTGGTTATTCTTTTTTTGCTATGCAGCAGTGCATGGATTGTTGTGGATTAGTTAGGGAACATTAGGGAAATGTTTAAAAGTATTAATGCTGAAGCAATGTATTGAAACATTGAATGCTTTACTTATATGGTATTTTGAGTTTGTTTAAATTATTTTTATTTCCTTTTAATTTACTTTCTTAACCCCGTCCCTTTCCCTCGTGGCTATGCGCTAGTTCCAATTAAAAGCAAGGAACCATTCTGTCCCCAGGACTCTCCCGGTATTGCTTTTGGGTCAGCTGTGAGATAGTACTGGAGCAGATCATGATTGCTTGCTATGTGTTCAGATATGCAAGGTACTTGTCATTATACCTTGACGGATCGACCAAGATTTGGAGCTGAGATGGATATTTTGTGGAGCACGTTGGTGAATCAGCACCGCAACAGCCCTGCTTTTGCTTTTTATTTAAATGGTTCACAAAGTCGCTAACACAGACGACCAGCTTCAAGTTGACTGCCACTGCTTCAAATGAAATAACACGAGAAGTTCACTGCTTATTGTGTCACAGTTACCATTTAAGACTGAAGCATTCAGATTTGTTCTTTTGTGTGACCGGCAATTTTAATTTTGCCAAAGAACTGACGATTGATTGTACACAATCTATAATTGGTGTCAGATTGTTAAATTGTATCCGCAGGTTTGATGTAGAGTCAGCAATGCAGAAGAATATTAACAAGAAGGTCTATTACTTCAAGATGCATCAAACCCAGGATATGTTTAGCTTTGCTTTGAAGTACCAGAATTGTTTCTGATAAATTATGTTTCATTCATGAAAAAATATTTCAGAGATTACAGTGCACTTTTGATAAATAGTGAGCTCTGCATAACATTACCATAGTATATTTGCATATTATTAACAGGACAGTCGGATGCTAATTAGAAAAACGTCAACCTGATTTGCTTCTAAATGACTGGACTTCTAAGGGTTTGAAGTTTTTGGTAACCCATCTAATGTATACAGGATTCAATTGTTATGTTCGCTCGCCTCAGTTACTTTTCTGTCATACTTTCTTGTTAGGGATTCTGCCATCTCGAGTAACAAGACTCCACACAACAGCTCCATTAATCACATCGAGAGTGTTCTCCAGCAGCTCGATGAAGCCCAGGCTCAGATGGAAGACCTCTTTCAGGAGCGCAAGATCAAGCTGGATCTCTTCCTTCAGCTCCGTGTTTTTGAACGGGATGCTATAGATGTAGGTGTCACATAGCAGAAAATAATAGGGTTGCTGAAATATCTTGCTTTTCTTTTGCTCTCTGACCCCTCTTTCCTCTCCCCAACCACTAATTCTCAAAGGCAAATATTTTCATATTATTAACTCATACTTCAGCTTTGGCCTCTTTCCCTTACGTGGTGAACACTGTGTTCACTGCACTCTGCATGATGCCTCTGGATCTCTGGGTTGAGTAGTCTCCTCTTTCCCTACCCCCACCTCCATGTGTCATCGACACAAACCCCAATATTTGGTCCTTTGAGATGAACAGATTGAAAATGAAAATTTGGAATTCAGCCATAGCTAGAATTTTGTGGCATGAGCTCCTTTCAATTACCTCTAGGAACTAGTGTAACATTTATATCACTGTAAGTAGTAAATTCAGAATTTCCTTCCTCCTCCTCCTCCTCATCATCATTGAAGTTTTCAGTACAAACTTTGCTCAACTGGAAATAGTTGCTTTGGAAAAATAGACTGTTTACTGTTTATAATAATCCTTAATAATCCTTGCATTTGATATAGCGCCTTATCACGTCTTCAAGACGTCTCAAAGCGCTTCACAGAATATAGTATAAAGTGAATTGACTGTATATTTTGTGGGGGAAACGCAGCAGCAAATTGCGCACAGTATGTTTGGCCATACAAGGATAATAAGATTTCGAGCTTTTTGGTCCTCAGTCTCCACTGCCTTTCACATGCCAACATATATTTTGTGGCCCTCATTATACTCAGTTGGCAATTATGTGCCATTGTTTTCTTAAATTGAACTATCTCCGGCCTCCATTGGTGCTTGCTGTCATCTCTTCTACCTCTGAAGTCAGCCTCCGCTGCCAATGTGTTTCTCGCCTTCTTTATCACTTCCAATGCTCTCTCAGTGCGTGTCCTCAATGTCTGGCTCTGTAGAATGCACACATGCACACCATAAAGAGGGGAAAAAAGATAAATTAAACAAGGGGAAGTTTTTCTCTCAAGTAGGTAATCAAGAGCCGAAACTGAGTGTGTACAAATCCATAGATCTAATCCTGACAGTGACCTATCCTACTGTATTCAATAAGGCATTCTTCCAAATTCACACATCATTGGATAATTCACTGTACAATGTTTATTTAATTCCGTATGAATCTGTTTTTTATAGTGCTATTGAGAAAAGTATTTTTCATCTGTCCCTGATCTTTCCCTAAAAACTGCAGTAATACATTTACAATGTATTTTTAGAACAGAGTCAGACTGCAGATAAATTATGTTCCTTTGTTACTCGAGGCTACATATGAAATGTTACTTGACATGAGCATTTTTTTGCTCTGCATTTAAACTAGCAATGAGGGCTAATGTGCATCAGTTTGTCGCTGGCTTCTGTAAAAAGGAAACTGGAAGCCAAACACGCCAACCTGATAGAACTGTTTGACCCGGGTCCGTGTGACTTACACACTGGTCATTGGAAGGGAATTCCCCCAAATTAACTCCCATTTTTGTACCATTTTTGATTCAATGGTAATAATACATACTAAAGGGTTAAAAATTCAACTAACTAAAAGCTCCCATGACCGTTGATGCATAAACGAATTGCTCGGACCCCTGATGTAACCTTTTCGATTAAAGAGGTGAACAATTAGAATGATGGGACTTTGCTAATTAGGTGTCACTTTAAAAATGACAGCAGCCCTCCCCCCGCGCCCCCCCCCCCCCCCTCCCCTTGGACGTCCCCTCCCTCCAGGGGCTTGAAATGTTAACCATGAAAAAGGATCAGGTTAATGCTTTCTGAACACAAGAAGGTTGCTCCCTGGGATAGACATTTTGAGAGCGTATTGATAAATAGTTTAAATTAATTTAAAAAAAGAACACTTTAAACTGATGAGCTCTATCAGCAATGTCTATGACTTGCTATCAGTGTCTCCAGGAGTCTAATGAGCAGTTGCTGGGCAACTGAGCGATAGAATTGCAATTGGTACTTTCTGGATTCCTGAGAGCGAATCTTCACATGGTGGTCGAGTCACAAGATCACAGGAGAGCTGCTGGCCTCTGTAGTCCTAAATTACAGCTTTTTATCGCGAGCAGTTTTATAGCTGCCTTCTAGATACTTTACACTCCTATCTGGAATTGCCTAAGTTATACTTTGCTTTTATTTTCATATTTCTTTTAACACTCTGATTTTGAATGCCGTCTGTAAATGTAGTCGTGATGCAGAGCAAATAATCTCTCTAAGAAAACAGGAGTTTTGAAAAGAATCAGATTTTCTTGAGAGAAACAAATTCTACGATAAGCCCTCCATCCTCTTTCAGTCAGAGCCTACAATAGTGGTCCAGGCTAGAAACTTCTGCAATTTTAGAGCAACTGTTTGATTTGTACTAAGAAGACAAGCAATGTGTGTTTCCACCCCCCCCCCACAATCTTGTGCCTCTTAAACCACAAGCACTAACAATCACTGTGGTTTTGCCTCCTAAATTTAAGGGAGAATTGACAAGAGAATTGAGCGCATATTTCTTGTAGCAGCACATTGTTTAACTGAGCATTGCCAAAAAAAGGATTTGCAGCTCAGTCCCAGTTGCAGTTGGGGTTATTTTTGCACTTTTAGAATACAAAAGTACCTCATCACTAGGGCAAACACGTTCTCTACTACTGAAATATTTTTACCATTCATATCATATGCTCTTAATAATTCACAAGAAAACCAGGTTGGCTGGATATATACACAGATTAACCACACGTATGTTTCGATATCTCCACGCACAGCTTCTATTATCAGATTGTGAAATTATCAAAACTTTAAATATATAGAATTGTAGGATTAAACGGCTGCAAAGTTGTTTTGCAAAATCAAGACATACCGAAAGCTGAATATATTTTGTACTGTTACAAATACATTGGTAAAAATACACCAACATAACTGAGTGTGCTGAAATATTGCTTAAAAAAAACCTAAGGCAAAAAGAGCCACACTGAATTTATTTTGGCGAGGCTAATTTGAGCTGTGCTGCTTTCCAGAACAGTACTGTAATTTCACAAAATGAGTAACCTGCATCAGATCTCTTAACAAATCAAACCATTTGTGTTGGGTTATATATGTGACTTTTTTTGCAGAAGGTTGGCCAGTTCCAATTTCCCAACAGTTCACAGGTAAGAATTTGTAAGTGTGGCTAATGTGTAGACTGTGTATTTGTAGCCAGGTGATTGGGACCTCGCCTGTAACAGTCAGAGAATGAATCTGTAAGTATGAATTAGCAAGCCGTGTACGTGTGCAAAATTATCAACGGCGACAAGATAATGAAAATAATTCACACTGTGATGCCAGGAAGGCTGCTTTAATCCTGACACTGTGAGTTGAATTATTGTCTAACTCACTGTTCCTAAGTCACTAAGTGAATGCAATAATAAATGAATAATTCCACTGTTGTAAATGGTGGGGAAGCCTACAGCCCAAGGTAGTAATATTATCGGTGTCACACCTGAGTGGCAAGATAACCTCCAACAATAACAATTAAGCATCTTCATCTTGTGTGGCATATATCAGAGTTCAGTTTAGGCCAGAGGGTATGTTTGTATCTGGCATACTCTCAAGAGAATTTTTTTTGAAAAAGCAGATCATTTGAATGTAGGAATGAGCACTGTGAAAGTGAGAGCTATTTTGTGAAATTACAGTAGTTTATCAAATGCAACATTTTTATATTTTTAAAAAGAATCAGAGCTAAGCTATGGCTCGAGTCTAAAGAGACCAATTTCCAAATTTGGTTTTGTTGATGATCGTAGGCGAGATTTCATAAATCAATGTGGTTAGTTCAATTAAATGAAACTGTTTCAATTGAGAATTGAAAGATAATTACATTACTTGTTGGCCTGATTAATGTGGGAGGCTGAGACCGAGCTCCACCAAGTAGATGTTCATCACTTCGGAAGTCATCCTTCCAGATGGATATTTCATACAAGTCAGTGCACCAGTTCAATGTGCTTTTCCATAAATTGTGATGGGTTCCTTCTTTCAGATCATTTCAGACCTCGAGTCTTGGAATGACGAGCTGTCTCAACAGATGAATGACTTTGACACTGAGGACCTGACCCTTGCTGAGCAGAGATTGCAACATCATGCGGACAAAGCCTTAACCATGAACAACCTGACTTTCGATGTGATCCACCAGGGACAAGAGCTGTTGCAGTATGTGAACGAGGTGCAGGCCTCAGGTATACCTCATACATTCATTCTATTTTGAGTTGAAAGTCTGTAAAGCATTTTGAATGCATGTAAATTCTGAATCCATTAATGTTGCATCAATCCGTTATACAAAACAATTCTTGCTATCATGTTCTATATTCCACAGATTATGAGAGGAAAATGAATAAGAAAGTTCTGCAACATGTAAAGAATTTTAACTATGGATTTAGTCATTTTGCTGGAGGTCTTTTTTATAACTATTTGTATATGTTACAATGCTTTGTGGTAAATAGTTACTTACTGCTTGAATCCCACGTTTTTAATGAAAATCTTTTAAGAACGAAGAAAAAATAACAGTATTAGAATGTTTTTGGCCTGCAAAAAACCCTTTGCCACAAATTTAATATGTAGTTGGTTCTGGGCTGATGTTAAGTTTAGGAACAATATTGCACAACAGCAGCTGTCTTTTCTCTTGTAAGCTGGCCTGAAACTGGAATTGACAAGTGGTGATCTGATGATCCAGAATCATGACTAGCAACTATTATTATTTTGTAGTCCCTTAATATCTATCCCGCATCCCTCCGCCTCACCCCCTCTCTTGCCTCTTTCAAGTCCCGACTAAAGACCTTCCTCTGCGACTGTGCCTTCGGCTACCCTCCCGCCTCCACCCCCACCAGCCTCCACTCCTCCTGAATCGAACTCCCAGCTCGGGTCCAAAAGCCCCTGACTGTCCAGTACCCTGGGACGTCTTTCCGATGTGAAGGGCGCTATACAAGTGTAATTTGTTGCTGTTGTTCATAACCCAACATCAAAGTTTATGGACCCTAACCATCATGTTTTAATGGGGTCCGACTGTATGAATTCAAGATATGTAACTGTTCACTCATTTAGATTAGGCTTTCCTGCTTGCACGAATATTCTAACACTTATTTATTCTTTGTTCTTAACAAGCTTTCATTTAGATGTGGGATTCATTGTCAAGTTGTCAATTTAAACTTTCACTTCTGTAGTTTTACTTTACTTCACTATGCAAAGCATAGAAACTGTAAAAGTTTCCCAAAGAAGATTTGTTATTCATTAGTTTTAGAAATTGCAGCATGGAGGTAGTGCATTTGAGTAAACATAATTTAAGGTGAATAATGCTTAATTATACTGTATATTATATTATACTATAATTATATTATACTTAATTATACTAATTATACTGTATAATTAATTATACTGTCCTGTAAAGGAGCAATTTTTCACAGGGCACAAATTCTAGTACCGGCTATGCCAAACTTACATTGGCTTGGCATTTTGCTCCAGGCATGTGACCGCCCTTGAAGAGATGGTCCTGTACTGCTAGAGAGGTGCATTGGCTGCAAAATTCTCACAATGCACCAGATTAAAAATGAAAGCAGCCCTGTTGCTATCCGTTCAGTTTCCATTTAACACCATTATGTCTAGTGACTGGTTGTCAATTTTTCTGCAACTTGAATTTAAAACAAATGTGCCGACAGATTGCTGCTTTGGTTGTATGCTCAAGAGCACATGTCAGGGACGTTTGCAAATTTGAGCTGTGATTTCTCTAAAAGCTGTAGATAAGGGACTTTTATCATGTCAGCTTCAACAGTATAAATAAGGCATGATACAAATCTTTCATAGTCATGCCATTTGTTTGTGGTTCTTAAACTAAAATTGAGTGCCCTCTGACAACCATTGTGATTTGTTTTAATATTATAGAATGGAGCTGGGGCTTTGGTTCATGACAGCAGACACCCCATAATGTTCTTATGTACATGTTGAGATTGCAGCATCCACGAAACCCAACCAAATCTGATTTGAAGAAGGCAGGATTTGGATCTAGATTTCATGAATACAACCTTGATAAGCATTTCTATCAGAAGTTAATCTTGTTTGGCCAGTCACAGCAAGCTTAAGTTTTTGCAGTACTGTGTTTTTGTTTGAGGAATGTTAATATTTAACAATGGTGAAACCAGTTTGACAACACAAAAACACCGACTCTTTGGAGACTGAAAGCGTCCCATGGCTTTTCAGAAGATTACATCTTCCGTACTTTTTTAAAATAAAGTTCTTTTTTTTCCAGACCAGTCCTCTGCCATTAGTCTCCCTTTCCCTCTTTTGAAAGTGTTTGGCTTTTTCAGGTCTTTGAACATTGTGCTTCTCACTTCTGATTGCTTTACTGGTGGAAGTGGCATTACTTTACTTCACTTCACAGTATAATCTGGGCCCTCGAATCCAGTGGTGTAGCGATGCACCTCCTAACTAGTCTTCACAGTTAGTTATAAACACCACACCGACAGTTGGATACTTTAAGGATGTCTTGCAACTTTTTTCCTAAACTAAGCAGATGAGATAAGAGATTTTAGTAAAGCTCCCACTATTCTCCAGGAACTCCAGCAGCTCCATTGATCTTGTGGGTCACTCTTCAGTCTTTCCCGCCTCTTGGAAATAGGCTGTTTTGTGGCCTGCAGAAGAGTGCTGAGGAAGACCTGGATAAGCAATTGGGTGATTTCTTCCAAAATAAATGTGTGGCAGTGTTGAGAGATATGAATTAAATATTCATTAAGAGTAAAAATGCCCACCTCCCGACGTGAAGGGTTCTATACAAATATAATTTTGTATTGTATTGGGACTATATTTCTTAGGTTGTTTTAATTTTCAGCAGTTTCAGGGCCAAATTTCCAGCCTTACTGAAACTCCTAAGTCTGACTGAACAATATCTCCATTGATTCAGCATGCTGCCAATCTTTTATAGAAAGGCGGAAATGAACAGCACAGATCCAAACGGACATAATGGTGCATTATATCGTTTGTATGAAGGAACAAGCCTTGTGTAACAATATGTCTTCGTTCAATGACATGTTGATTCAACAACAACAAATTACATTTGTATAACGCCTTTCACGTTCCAAGATGCTGGAATTCATCCGTAAACTTAATAATGTTAATGTCTGCAGAAAAAAAGTACCAGACTATTTTCATGAATCACATGAACAACAAAAAGGACAGTACTTGGTCAGCTGTAATTGTTACCTTACCTGCTTGACAGACCTGTAATAATCCAGCTAGGTCTTTTTCACTTACCAAAGGCAAAGAATATTCTTGCTCGTGTACATGTGCTCATGCTCAACTTTTAGACAGCTCACTAAACATTGAAACGTAGGGAGATCTAAGCCAAGTGTGACGTGAAGCACAAGGACAACTGGTGTTGATGAATAATACAGTTCAGCATTTGTTATTCCATAACCTTTCTCTCGGTTTACGGTTTAAGAAAAGGATGACTGTCATCAAGCTAATAATGAATGATAGAGTTGACATATAAAGGTGGCAGTGGTTTAAATCTGAAGTGGAGAAACTGTACTATCAAAATCAGCAGAATGTATGTTAGTTTATTTATATTCTGTTACGTATTTCCAATTTAGCAGTGATTTTTCACCACTTTTTGCCATTTGTTTGCTAAGAACTCGACAGTGGACAGTTACAGCTATAACTCTGTGTTCTGAATTCTCAGACACATTTAATTCCCAGCTCATAAGTGGAGGTAACTCTGTAGTAAACTATGCTTTGTGCATTTTCTTGCTCCTCATAACAATTTTTACTAGAGGTTCTCAGACCATTATCTTTACAGATATATGACGGAGCAATCCTTTTGAATTTAAGATATTTATTTTAGATTTTTTCTGTTCCCATAGCCTCCCTGTAACCACATACATTTTGTACCACTTCCCCAGTTGACACATTGACCTGCTCCCAGGCATTCTTCCTCATGCAGCTCTTTGGTCACTTCAAGAATATATATTTTTTCACACTCCCTCTCCCCGGATTGACAATAATAATGGTAACTGCAGTTTATCATCCAGAGCAGAATGTGTTCCATGGTATTTGTCCATATCTGCAACACCAGGTTTGTCAACATCACCGATGCTATGAATCACTGAGTAGCTGTAAGGCTTTGCGTCTCCTCACAGCCAAATGAAGCCTAGGAAACACTGCATACCTCCATCTCAGGCTACTTAATATATCAACTACAAATAGGCTAAGTGACTCACTTGAAGAGATTCAGACAAGCAGATGGGATCTTGTTTAACTCTCATCTAAAGGATGATGACTCCTAACAATGAAGCAGCCCCCAAGTCCTCCTTTAGAGTGTCTTCGTAGATGAGGAGTTCAAGTCCTGGCATAGGGCCCTGACCTGAGCCTTGCTAACACAATCATTTACTTTTGTATAAGGATAACCACATTACTGTTATGAATTTTGTCTGTAACAGCTTCGAAGAGAAAGCCTCTTTTTGAAAAAAAATAATGGCAGTAAGTTTCCATGTTGTGAATGCTGTTCTGTGCTCGCTTATTACCCCAGGTGTTGAGTTAACCTGTGACCGAGACGTTGACATGGCAACCCGGGTGCAGGACCTACTGGAATTTCTTCACGAGAAGCAGCAGGAGCTGGACCTCACGGCAGAGCAGCACCGACGGCACTTGGAGCAATGTGTTCAGCTACGTCACCTCCAGGCTGAGGTCAAGCAGGTCAGTGCTGTTTGATGTTGATCTGCTTTCTTCCAAGAGCACGAGATTGCATTGGCGTAAAGACCGCAATAAATTTGTCTTTGGTTAGTGGGCGAGAGTAGAATATTTCTGTGGGAATAAATCTTACCCCAGAGTGGACCGAAAATAATACCAGCACAGGTATTACTGATATTTTGACTGGGGATCTACGTGAAACTAAGCTGTTTGTTAGATAATAGAAAGCTTCTGGTTTTCCCCACCCACCCACAATCCTTTTTATCAGGCACTCTCATGTCAAATGCTGCAGTTGGACAAAGAGCGAAGCTCCTCGTACTCTCCTGTGGCATGTGAATCTTTTACACTCCTTGTGGTCTTTTTAAATATTACTCCATTGCTATGTGGAAAAATTCTATATGGCTCTTGTCCCTACGCTAAGCTTCAAGGGCATTGATTACATGGTGCCTGCTTTTATTGTCACCTTATGCAGTTTGAAGAAGTACAGACAGTGATTAGGGGTTGACATTTATTTGACAATTATTGGCAATTCTTCACAATCCTTGAGCCAATCCATTGCTGATTGTTTTATAATTTAGAAAAATCATACACGGTGTGATTTTGTTTTTAAATATTTTAATTAAGCACTGAATAAATATGGTGGTTAAGTGCTACGAGACATTACCCTACGTGAAGGGTGCTATGTAAATACAAGTTGTTGTTGTTGTTGCAAAGATTGCCAAATATGAGGATGGCCCTTCAATGGAATATTGATTTGTTCTATGAATGTTAAAATGACAGATTAATTTACTGTAATTCTAATGGAGAAATTGTTTTACGGAGTTCGTTGATTCTGGGGCTTGTTTAGAGACAAATTTTCTGTGAAGTCCAGGACTTGATCCAGACCTGAATTAAAACATGTAAAAGCTACATTTAATACATTTATATCAGCTTGAATGGATTACTACACAAATTGTTAGAGGCTAGGACATTTGGAGTCCGGTAGTTCAGTCGTTAGACCACTCGCCTTGCAAGCGAGAAACCTGGGTTCAATTCCAGGCAGGGTGAAACCTTGGGCAAGTTTCCTTACTCCACACAGAGCCTAATAATAATACCTCCAAAAACAAAGCAATAATAAATTGGTCATTTTCAATCCATGACTGTTTGTGGGATATTGCTGTGCGCAATTGGCTGCCGCGTTTCGCCCACAAATATACATTCAATTCACTTTACAGCATATTCTGTGAAGCGCTTCGAGACGTCGAGAAGACGTGAAAAGTGCTATATCAAATGCAAGGATTATTATTAGTCTTATGTATTTGCGGCTTCACGCTATAATGGGATATTATAAGGTGGGTGTTCTGGAAGGATAATCATAACAGTCCTTACATTTGGTATAGTATCTTTCTTCTTCAATATTTACATGCTCCTGTTCAGCGATATGATCTGTAGGCATGGGGTTAACTTCCACATGGATGTGGATAACACCCAACACTATCTCGCTGCCTAAACCCTCGACTTTGCTTTCCTGATGGATTGCCTGTCAGACATCAAGTCCTAGATGAGAGCTAACTTTCTCTAGTTGAATGTCGAGAATACATGGGTCCTGCCTGGCTCCCATCAATGCCTCCTCACCTCATTCTCTGAGAGCATCAATATTCATGGATGCACTCTCCACCTCACCGAGCCTTTGCAGTGTCTTGTTTGACTCTCAAGTGCCCTGTAAACCCCATATCCAAGCCTTAACCCATTCAGCGTTCCCCCGTCTCTGCAAGATTGCCCGCCTCCACCACTATTTTTTCCCTCAGGCTGCCGAGACCCTCATTAATGCCACCATCCCGTCCCAGCTTGACTGTCTAACTCTCTCCTCACTGGAGTTCCTAACTCTCCCTCCACAAGCAGCAGATTATTCAGAACTGCAGCTCGTGTCCTGTATCAAGCTCTCGGAGCCTATCTCCCCGTCCTCGCTTGGCTCCACTGGCTGCTCATCCCTCAGAGTATTGAGCTTAAAATCCTCATTCACATATTTCAAGCCCTCCACTGTCTTGCCCTGCGCATTGAGACGCTGCCGTGCGTGAAGGGCGCTATATAAAGTCTAGAAGATGTGAAAAGCGATATATCAAATGCAAGGATTATTATTATTTATTATAAGTGCAAGTTGTTGTTGTTGCCCCTCCCTACGTGCTTGTTTCCTCTGCTTGGCGGAAACTGGGCTGCTCCATGTCCCCTGCTCCACCATCGACCTTTAGCCTTTCTGCCTCCACCCTCTGGAACTCCATTACAAAGTACCTTTGCCTCGCCTCCTCCTTTGCCTCCTTCAAGGCCTATCTCAAGACTTTCTCTTTGACCGTGCCTTTGGTCATCCCTCTTGATTCCAACCCCCAGCTTGAGTGCAAAACTCTTGACTGTCCTGGTCCTTGAAACATCCTCCCGATGTGCAGGGCACCATATAAACACAATTTATTGTTGTTGTTTTCCATTGGGAGGACATTCCAAAGGGCTTCACAGGATATACTGCCTATGTTTTGCGGACAAACATGGCAGTTAATTTTGCACACAGCAACAACAACAAAATTACATTTTTTTACTACCTTTCACATCAGATGTGACACACAGCAATGTCCCACAGCCACCCCTGAAGTGAATGGCCAATTTTATTTGGGAGATGAATTCAAGTGGCCGAAAAGACCTTCTTTATCTCAAATTTCTCTTTCGATCTTCTGAAGTACTTTAAACAAAGACGCAATTACTTCATTCCACCTTTTTTGTGATGAGTTTTAAATTGTTTATTCAAAAAGATGATGGTCCTTGTATTTGATACAGTGCCTTTTACGTCGGGAGGACATCTCAGCAGGACTTAATGAATACTGTAGTGACTACATTTTTGTAGGCAAACATGGCAAGCAATTTGCATCCACATACTGACGTACATGAATGAACCAATTTTATAAGGGAGATTGTTGGGCAGGACACGAGGAGAAACTCCCTTCTTTTATTTAAGTAATACCATGGGGTCCATCTTAAGAGGCAATCGCGATCTCGGTTTAAGATCTCATCCGAAGGACAGTACGTCCGACAATGCAGCATACTCCCAGCTGTTATCACTAGGTAACGGCATGTTGTGAGATAATATATTAATGATCAGACATTTCTGGATTGAAGAACGATTTGGATCAGTACAATTCAGGATCTCCACTCTTTCCAAGTCACGTTTACCCGATCCCTTCAAGGTACTGTGTGGCACTGTCATTTGCTGCCACTGATTTATATTTTTGGTGCAAAAGCAAAAGAAGCAGTGGCTTGCAATACAAGACTGGGATTGTTTTTCTTGTCTTGTACATTGTGACACACAGATGTTGGGAACAGTTAAAAGTGATTGTTGTATAATTTTGAAAACAGCATAGTTTTGCCTCAGACACAGCCTGCAAAGCTTAGCCTCAAACAATACATTGCCTGTTCCTGACTGTTTGCTTCCTGTGATGATAGTAGTGCATTATAACAGATTAGCTGTACAGTAAATAACAGTTTGAGCCAAATCCTCAAATATTTCCACTGCTATCTTGGGTTGTAGTTTGAAACTTACATAGACTGATTTCCAGGGTGCAACTGCTGTTTACAAGTTCACAGATGCATAAGATAGACTTGAATAGACATTGGCCTGTGTGCAAAATAACAGTTAAGTGCGTTCTTAGATTTTTGTATGAGTATTCATTGTGTTACCCATAGGATAGTACTACAGTAACACACGTGGGTTTAACAAGAGTTCTGTATGTTAATTATAGAAATTTGGGAATTTTTCCAGTGACTCAACATGATTATTCATGGTCACACAAACTGGGAAAGCCCCAAGGTCAATCCATGATCAAAGCTGATTTAGCAGATTGCCGTGAGGAATGTTACATTTAGTCTCTGCAGGCAAAGGAGCCAAAAATTAGCCTGGGTTTCTGGTGGGGGTGTCTGAGGGAGGGGGAAGATTCCAGGGGAGAGGGTCTCTGAGGGAGGCAGTCAGCCTAAAAGAAGGGCTGGTACAATGTGGTACCATAATAATATTATAACTCCTGATGCAAGAATATTTTATACTTTGCCATTTTGTACTTTGCATAATGACCTGTTTGCACTGTTTGCTTGTCTCCATTGAGGCCAGTCCCAATTAGTGCAGATAATCAGCTAGTGTAGGAGAAAAAAGGATTCAAATACATTCAGAAGGGAAAGGAGCCAAATGGGAATTATTCATATAGGGCAGAATAAAAATTGCTTTGCTAACTGCTGTTAAGTGTTGAACCCTATTTGAGTGTTTTTTTCCCATCTTATTCTAAGGTTTATTTAGTTATAAGCAGTGCCACTTGAAGAGTAAAATTACCACAACAGGAAAGAACGAACATCAATACATTATGGAATAGTAAAAAATCCAAAGTACTTTCTAGTTTATACGTTCCAATCCCCGATAACATGTTCCATTTTGCTCTGTTTCCCATTTGTATTGAAGCCTCTGTTATAGGGAGAGCCCTGCCCTGCTGTTCCAAATAGTGATTTTGCATATCATTTGCAAATCAGTCATGTTATTTATACACACACGGTATCACAATTGAGCACATGGATACTACAAATAAAGGGATGTTACGACCACTTGGATCCATCTTGTAATTTACACTTGAGTATCTAGGCTTACATCATATTGAAGATGAGTCCAAAACAATATATTTTGCTGTTCTTTTCAAAATGGTATTAACAGCATGTTGTGAACATTTGCACTATTATGCTGCGATTAATTTACACCCTTGGCATGATTGCTCTTACAACATGCACTGCTGGCTTTATTATACATGTGTTTCCCGATAGCAAAACGACCTTCAGGAAATGTGAGTTATTCTGGATAGATTATAAGTAATAATGATCCTCGCATTTGATATAGTGCTTTAATACATTGTTGAGAAGCGCTTCACAGGGTTTTACTGTGAAGTGCATTGACTGTATATTTGGAGTTAAAGCAGCAGACAATTTATACACGGCAATGTCCCACAATCAGCCTTGACGTGAATGACCAATTTTATCTGGGGATTATATAGGTCAAGCACAAATTGAAAGCACCATTTTGCATGCACAGGCCCATAAATTGTGCATCTTATATTATGTATGTTCTGTACGATGGCTAGTGAGGACTGTTCATCCCCCACCACCACAACATCGCCTGACTCCGCTACTGCCTTTACCTTCAAGCCACTGAGACCCTCATCTGTTCATTCATTCATTACACCTAGGCTCAACTACGCCAACTCCCTGTTTGTCAGCCATCCCAACTCTTCCCTCCACAGGCTGCAGATCATTCAGGACTCTGCAGCTCGTGTCCTCTCCCACACCAGGCTTCATGACCCTATCACCCCCACCTTAGCCCGGCTGCTGGCGCCCTATCCCCCAGAGCATAGAGTCCTCATCCTCACTGTCAAAGACCTCCATAGCCTTGCTTCTTCCTATCTCTGTGACCTGCTAACGCCATATCAACATGTCCGCTGCCTCCGCTCAGCAGGCTTCGGCCTGCTCCACATTCCCCGCCCGGCTCGCTCCACCATCAGCGGTCGGGCCTTCATCCTGTCTACCCTAACCCTTTGGAACTGCATCCCATAATCTCTTTGCCTTGCTCCCTCCCTTGTCTCCTTCAATGCATTTCTCAAGACCCTCCTCTTCCACTGCATCTTCAGTCATTCCCCTGCCCCCAACCTCCCTGCCCTCCCTGCCTCCTAATCCCAATCCCCTGCTCGGATCCAAATCCCTGACTGCCCAGCGCCTTGGGACGTCCTCCTGACATGAAAGGAGCTATACAAATGTAATTTGTTTTTGTTGTTCAGTCTGACTGGTGCATGCTCGATGTGTTGAATGTCTCATTGTCATCAATACCAGTAAATGGTACAAGCATGGATGTGCAACGATTACATAAATGTTGGTGTTTGTCATGAAGCATACTGAGTTGGGCGATATTGTATCTAATTTTAATGTTATACTGGAGACAGCACAACACAACTCTGGATACATTTACTGGCAAACACACAGTCAGTGGTCTCTACATGGGACTTTTGTGTCACATTTGTAATCATAAATAGTGTGAAAATGCTGGCATAACAGGTGGAAGTGTAAGGCATAACTGGTTATTTAGTCACAATAAAACATGTTCGCCTCCAAAATGTGTTGACGTGAAATTTGACTGTCAAATGCTATTATTATGATAATGATTTTTGATACAAACAATACATTAGAAGTAAACAGCATTGACCAACAACCACTTCTCCAGGGCATTTCACGAACGGTAGAGTCTCGGTGTGCTTAACAGTGGCGTAGCTGGACCATATATAATTCAAAAATAGTATAGACAATTAGTTTTCCTTAAATCTTCTTTGAGCAATATTATGGAACAATATTGAGACGATGGCAGAACATGTGAAACAGCTCTGCAGACTATTCTCTGCGTTGACCCAGCACTAACAGGGAGCCAATCACAGCTTTATTGCAACAAGTGAGTGTGCCTCATGTCCTCTAGCAGTAAGTTATGTAATTTACTTTTAGGCATGTTTGTCCAATAAGGCGTACATTTGCAATCTGTTGTTTAACCATCTGTGAGGTTATTCAATTAGTGAACTTCTGCGTGTGTTCACCTCTCTCTCTATCTGTTTCTGCATCATGTGAGTCTGATTTTTTCTCTTCCTGTCTGTATTTGTTCCCTTTGTTTTGCTCTCTTTCAGTTTGTCTTTAGTTTCCTGTGGGTCTCTCAGACTTGAATTTAGTTAGTAAGGTACAAAATGGGAGGGTTCAGAGAACAGCAGCATTGAGCCTGTGCTTGTGAACTACTCATCATAGCCGCCTCTGGGTTTTCTTTGACGGATTGGAGCCAACATGAACATTTAAAAAAAACACTAATCAGAAAATACTAAAGGAGATACCTGATGTAATGTATTTAGTTACAACGGAGGTTCACTTGTTGGAGTGTAGAACCTGACATTTACTTAGAAAAAAAAATCCAAATGATGGTCACACGACCAGCTTTAAAAAGCTTTGGAGTCCTCAAGTGCTACAAAATGGGTGATTTGAAGGGATTATTACCCCCAGAAAAACGATCTGCAAATCGACTAACAACCGGGTTCCTATTTACTGCTCGGTAAATCGAGACATGCGGAGTAAAACTTGGCCAGCGTTTCGCCCTGCCCGGGAATCACACCCAGGTCCCCTCTCACTTGCGAGGCGAGTGCTCTAACCACTAAGCTACAGGACTCCATGCATCCTGTGCATCCACTCTGCATGTTTTTTGTTAAAAATGTATTGGATGATTTGGCATGTTACTACTCTAATAATAATAATCCTTACATTTGATATAACACCTTAAGTCGTTGAGATGTCTCAAAGCGCTTCACGGAATACATTGTAAAGTGGATTGACCGTGTATCTTGTGGGCGAAATGCGGCACCCAATTGCACACAGCAGTGTCCCACAAACAGTCGTGGATTGATGACCACATTTTTTTTTAGGTTAATAGGCGGGAGTAAGAAAGGAGATCTAGGACACAAACATAAGAGGTATTTTTCCTTCATTCCCTTGAATGTGGGTCAAATATCTCTTTGTTAGCAGTTTTCTGGAAGATGAACCTTTTCAAAACTTGCAGTCTTCTTTTGGAAGAAGCAGTTGTGGGTGGGGTGGGGGGGAGGGAGGACTGGAGAACTGGGGTAGGGGTTTGATCGAAAGACTTTTTGCTGATTCCAGATGCCCATCATGCATTCTCGGTACTCTCTGCAGAATGATGTTACAGTGTACAAATCTCATTGTGAGACTAGATTTTACTCATCAGTAATGTTGACTGGGTAAGACAATGCACAGAGTTGAACTGCTATTTAGTTTCTTTTTGGGAGAAAGCTTTACTCTCTGATTGCTCTGTGGAAGGAAGCATACACTGATAGCTGAATCGTCATTGAGGAACATTTACTGTGATGTTTCTGTTGCTGTTACAGGTACTGGGTTGGATCCGGAATGGTGAATCTATGCTAAATGCTGGTCTCATCACTGCCAGTTCACTTCAGGAAGCTGAGCAATTGCAGCGGGAGCATGAGCAGTTCCAGCATGCCATTGAGGTAAGATAACATCTGTCAATAAGGTGCTCTGTATTGATGATCAACACCATTAGGAATGTTGGAATGCACAGGAACAAAAAAAACATTTCAGGCCATCTAGCTAGTACCAGAGTTCAATATTTTGAACTACAATCATTCTGGCACATTTATTATTTGGAGCAGTCTAACACTTTAAAAATATTTAAATGTCCTTTTCATTCACAATATTTCCCATCCCTCTCTCACTTTCTTTGGCACGTGAGTTCTGTCTGTCTGTCTTTTATCATTGTCATTGAAGTCACTGACCAATGGGGAAAAAAAAGGATTAAATTCCTATATAATTTTCAAAATGACTTATTTGTTCTAGCAACTTGCAACTAAGCACCTGTGTAGCATTGTGTCACTTGTGAAGTAGGTGTTGACTTGTAGAAGTATATAACTTGAAGCAGCTATGACTGGAATCCATTCGCCTTCAGGTTTCATATTGCGACGCAGATTTCGCAGCTAACACTGTATAATTTGCTTATTGATGCTATACACTCTGAATCCTGCAGTTATAATAATATAATAATAATCCTCACATTTGATATAGCGCCTTATCACGTTGTCAAGACGTCTCAAAGAGCATCACAGAATATACTGTAAAGTGCAGTGACTGCTTTGTGGGCGAACCCAGCAGCCAATTGCCACAGTGGTGTCCCACAAATAGTCATGGGTTGAGTGACCAAATTATTATTATTATTTTTTTGCCGGTGGTATTATTCCCCCCGTAAAAGTGATCCGCCAATCGATGAGCAAACAGGTTCCTACTTACTGCTAGGTAAACAGAGGTGTGTGTGTGTGGAGGAAGGAAACTTGCCTAAGGTTTCGCCCTGACCTGCCCAGGAATCAAACCTGGATCGTCTCGCTTGCGAGGCAAATGCTCTAATCACTGAGTTACAGGAATCCACAAGACATGATAGAGAACACAATAAGCCTATTGTCAGTTGTCTCCAGACCATTCAATGGTATTAGTCAAATACTTTGTATACATTCAAATTGGTCGAAAAGTAACTATGGACAACAAAAAACCATAGATATTGAATTCCCAGTTTTAAATAACCAGGTTTATGCATGTCCTCGGGGAAAAGTAGACACACATTTGGTGTCCCAAAGCTCCATTTGCAGTGTAGTAATTAGTTAAATCCAATCTAGTCTATTTTTTAATTGTAAATTGTTGTGCTATTTTGGTCTTCTTGTCTAATAAATGGGGCAAGAGTGTATTTTGAAGACCATAAAATTGCTGAAGTTCCTCTCACCGCGACCTTTCTCAAACGTCTTTCAGCACTGAAAAGATGGCAACATTTGATGATCAGAGTTTTTCTATTAGTCATTTGAAACAATTGCTTACAACAATCTTTTATTCTCTCTCCAAACCCAAAGACCAGTTTCTGATTACTTAGTATCAGGCACTCAGCAATTGCAGCAGAAATTGTAAGCCTTGATGTACAATAGATTGTACACAGGATAACATCTAAATGTCTTATCTTAAAGTTTTTTTTATTATTGTGTCAATTTCAGTAAAAGTAAAGTTCTGCTTCGTAGATGCACATTCCATAGCCTGCCACTGTGACCTATATTTTATTGTAGTTTTACTGCTATCAAAAAAGGAACTGGATGTACCCATCAAATCTGTAATGACTTGCTTTATTTACAGACCATTATTTCCATCAAAATCAACCTGGGTTAGTAGGAACATTTTGAAATGTGATTTTCTTTGTCTGATGTTTGTAACTTTTTGTCGGAATAGAAAACCCATCAAAGTGCCCTGCAGGTGCAGCAGAAAGCAGAAGGCATGTTGCAGGCCAACCACTATGACATGGAAATGATCCGGGAGTGTGCAGAGAAAGTCGCCTCCAACTGGCAGCAGCTCATGCTAAAGATGGAAGATCGGTTGAAGCTCGTCAATGCTTCTGTTGCATTCTATAAAACTTCAGAACAGGTAAGTAAATTGTTCTAAACATCTGAACAAGACAGCTTTTGCTTTGCCTCACATCTGCAGTAAGAGGCTACATTTTATAACGTGGTTGATGGCCTGAGTGCTTCCATAACTTGGTGTTGCAGTAAACCAATGGATTGTCCACTGGATGGCGTTAGATCTGAAACATTAAGGGCTTGTAAAACAGGCAAATAATGTTAGTATGTTCCTCATAAGAAACAGATGAGAATTCTGGCACCAAATCTACTTTGGAATATTGAAACCAGGCCAATTTCTGTTTTAAAACTGCTGAATTGTAAAAATGCTGAAACATTCTGGGCTTTATTAAAATCTGGCCTTTATTAATGAGTGCTCATTGCAGGATAGATCATATTAAATTGAGATCTGAACATTTATTGTTGCTCTATCTACTCTGTTCTGAAGTGACAGTTGCTTTGACTTGATGGCACTGGTAAAGTTGTGGGAGTTGTTACTGTTTGGTCGACCGGCAGCATCTGAAGCCTTGCACCTTTACTCATGAAAGCAAGTTAAAATAGTGAATATTCACAAGCCAGATGCAGTGTGTGTTGCTATCTGTGTCTGCTGTGGGGATTGTCACTGGTGTCTGCTGTGGGATAGTCACTCGTCTCTTGTGTTGGGTTGTCACAATGGCTGTGCTGGATTTTCACTCGTTGAGTGGGATGATTTAAGTTCTTCCCGCATAGATGAATTTATAATATTGTTTGGGAAGCCTTGAGCTGCCAATGTCTGTTTCCTTGAGATAGAAAACAGATGTAACCAGCCCTGGGGAATGGATCCAGAATTTAGATACTTGAGGGGAAGTTGCCATTGCCACTCCTTATTTGGGGCACAGTGAATAGGGTCTGGAACCAGGCAGGTTGAGGAACAAGGGCAAGCAAGCTAAAAATGAAACCTTTTCACGTGTCACTCAGTCACTAGCTGCCCATTTATTTGTATTAAAAATTACCAGCGACTCAGTAAATTATAAAAAGGATCATCTGTTTAAAGGCATCAGTGATAAAATGGGAAAGAACTGTCTGAAGTTGTGGATTAACATTTTTATTTGGTTACCCTGTTATTATCTAGCTGGTTATAGTGATGAAGCATTGCCATTGTTCTGGTAGTCTGATGAAAGATGTAGGAGAGTTAACTGCAGGACAAAACTATGAATGTCTTTCACAACTACTGAAACAATGTGAAGTGTGAAGATGAATCTAAAACCATCCGGAGGAAATACCAAACCTGAAATGGGGCATCTCATACATTCTTTGAATTGTCCTCTTTTTTAAAAGAAATGTTCCTCTGTTAGTCCATCTCCTTTACACACACACACACAGTGAATATTTGTGTTAGCCAGGGAGCAAACAACTGCTCCTTATGACAGGATCCACAAAATTAATAGATGTTTTAATCTGTTGGTTTATTGTCTGGTTCAGAGTGGGCGGGGGAGGATAGATACAAAGAAAAAGAGATTCACCATGACCTATTCTGTTTAGTGGTGCAATGATAACTGATCCCAAATCTATCAGTCTATTGTTTTTCTCACTGATGATATGGGCTGGGAGGGGGGTGGTGGGGGCGAGGGAGGATAAGATGGGTGAAGGACTCTCGCCATTACACGTCTGTTTTCCTTTCCTTTTAATGATTTAGCACCACAGCATTCATTAACAGTTAGACTAATGGAAGGCTTTTGAGTCCCCAGTGGTGTAGAGTTGAGTATATTTTTGTTCCTGGGTTTAGAGAGGCCTGCACAGCAGCTGGAGAGGTCAGTTCTTTGTGAATACCTAAAAGGAAAAACAAATTGAATTTACAAACCTGGTGTTATTATTATGATGATGATGATGATGATGAAATAACTGTGTTATGGTCGGTTTAGTTTACTGCTGTTGTTAAGCTAAAGATTTAAATTGTTTATGATTCCAGCGCATATTCCTTCCTCTTCCAAATTCATGTCAAACATTCAATAAATAAGTTTTGGCCTTTTTATTTGAAAGGTACTATATCAGTGCAAGTTGCTGTTGATATAATTCTTGAGTCAATTCAGATTTTTTTTACATTGAGGCATCACTTTCATGGGGATTATGTAAAAGTCAAATCAGTGTTTAAGCTTTAAAGCAACGTAATGCATATCATAATAATATACTGTAAAATGAATTGACTGTATATTTTGTGGGCAAAATATCATGTATTTTAATGTTACCACAGTCAACAAATTATTGGGGTAAAAATTGTGAAATCACAATAATGTATTTTATTGCTATCAGTCTACAGTAAAACTTTCAATTGAATTGACAGAGTTGCTTATATTCTTTCTCTGTACAGGTTTGCAGTGTATTGGAGAGCCTGGAACAGGAATACAAACGCGAAGAGGACTGGTGCGGAGGAACCGACAAGCTGGGTCCAAATTCAGAGTGTGATCACGTGACGCCCATGATCAGCAAACACCTGGAACAAAAGGAAGCTTTTCTCAAAGTATGTGGAAATTCTGAGAATTAGCATTTGGTAGTATTGTAGAGAAAGGCGACAAAGGCAATGTTCTGTGTATGAACATGTGAACATAGTCTTTACTAGCACTTCACTAATGGTCGTTGGGTGAAATTCTGTAGACTCCACTTGACCTGAAAAGTACCCAGCAGTACAAATATATCGCTTCGTGTATTTTGTTTTAACTTTATTTCTGCACGGCACAAAAGTGGAGAAATAGTGCTGGGAGCAATCTGCAGCATAATGATCTGTGCCAATGGAAGCGTGTAGAAATATTTGCCAAAAGCTGCAGGGCATTTGACAAATTTTGTGGGAAAATTGCGGAGAAATATGGTAAATTTTGCAGGAAATTGCAGAGGGTTGCTTCGTGCCATTTTCTGAGGCAACCAGGATTAAAACTATAGGCATATATTTCCTGAACCTGTGGTTATATTTAAAATACTATAAATGTTAATGTGAATAGTACAGCACTTACCAAGAATTCATCGTAGGAGCTCAGTTTAGGACGGGGGCCGGGTGAAGCCGATTTCCCGCCGTGTCCGCCATCCCAAAACCTCCTGCGCCACGCATGTGCAACTGGAGCCACTCCTCACAGTAGCAGAGTCGAGCAAACAGCACGAGAGGCCCAGGACCTAGCACACTGTGTGTCCAGGTTTGTAGCGGAAGAGAGCGTTTGTAGCGGATTCCATGGAAAAAGTGCGGCTGCGCCTTTCTATTGGCCCAGATAATATCTTACATGACTGTTGATCATCTATTTATTGGCTAACTTTAGTTCTGACCTTCTCGATTAGGCGTGCACTTTAGCACGAAGGAATGCTGACGTCTTCCTGAAGTATCTCCACAGAAACAGTGTAAACATGCCAGGAATGATGAGTCACGTCAAAGCCCCTGAGCAGCAAGTGAAGAGTAAGTTGTCCACTTCTGTTCAAAGTTTGGAGCTTTGAGTGACTGCTGGCCTTTGACTAACGTCTGCTGAAAGAATGTCTGGAATGGATATTAACACGTTGTGATGCCTCCTTTCAATTTTTCTGTTTACTTTAGTTAATCAGTGACGTACTGCAGTTTTAGGGCCATGTGTAGACAAGGGCCACATGAACACTCCAAAGTCAAACCATTTTTCCAGAATATGACCTACCCACCACAGGGCAGCGTGTAATTACAAACCATTTCCTTGCCCTTTTTTATTGTAAAAATTAATGAGCAAATAGAGAATCTAACAGACTTAGGGGAGAATGGTGGCAACTGCGTTGTAGACTGCAAAACTTCATAAATAATATATCATTGTATTATTATAAATACAGTGATTGTAAAGTGGCAGAATTTATACTAGCTGTGAAGAATAGGAAATATATGGAGACTCTGGGAGTTATTTTACACAACATTGTGATCTTTCCTTTATATTGTTATCGTGGAAGATCGTATGTCAGACACCAGCATGAGTTAAGATGCCTGGAAAGTAAAGTACCCAACAATATACACTAAGATTCTAGAAACTATTAAGATTTTTCTTTGTCTCCTCTGTTACTATTACCAAGTGTGCTTGTGTGTTTGTATATTTATTGAAGTCTAAAATGAATATGTTGTGTGTGTGTGTGTTGCGTGTACACATATATGTGTGTATTGTGTGTGTGTATATATATATATATACACACATTTACCTGATGCCAAATGTTTAATTTCTTCAGACTCTACAAATTTGTGATTGGTTTCTCGAGATAATTGCAAAATTCTCCATTCAATTTCAAATAGCATTTATGAAGTTTTGTGGAATATTTTCCACCAGGGTCAAGCCGAATACTGAGGCAGATCTTAGTTTTCTCAGGAGTGAGGTGTATATTGTACCATTATGAGTTTTAGTTAAGGGTAAAAGCCATTGAGCCATTGAACGACGATTTATTGGAGATGAGGGCAGAGCGGGAGGATTTGACTTGGTCCAGCCAAGTCTGCCGATGGACAGTTAGGTTTGATTTAAGCCGGTGCATTCAGCGGAACGCGCCCTGGGTTTAAGGGAACGGAGGTGGCTGGTGTACCAAGGTATAAGTATTAAATATTGTATCTTGTACAATATCCAATTAGATTTGTTGTTGTGCCGAATTACTCATTTGAATTCTGAATTGATATTGCTATTATTTTTCAATGGGTCTCTTTATATGATACAGACATTCTCAACGAGCTGTTACAAAGGGAGAACCGAGTTTTGCATTTCTGGACGATGCGGAAGAAGAGACTAGACCAGTGCCAGCAATATGTTGTGTTTGAGAGGAGCGCCAAGCAGGTCAGTAGTTGCTTTGTAAAGGTTTGAGGTGCGTGAAGGCTAACATTTTTCAAACATGGTTATTAATGCAACACAATATAATAATCCTTGTAATATCACATCTTCGAAACGTCTCAAAGCACCTCACAGAATATACTGTAAAGTGAATTGATTATATATTTTGTGGGCGAAACGCAGCAGCCAATTACAGACAATCATGAATTGAGTGACCACAGTTTTTTTTAAAAAGGGATTATTACCCCCTGGAAAAGCGGTGCGCCAATTGACTTAACAACTGGGTTGCTACTCACTGCTAGGTAAATAGAGGCGTGTGGAGCAAGGAAACTTGCCCGACGTTTTGCCCGGCCCGGGAATTTAACCCAGGTCCTCTTGCTTGTGAAGCGCATGCTTTAACCACTAAGCTACAGGATTCCACAAACATCACTGTTTGGCTTGGATAGAAAATGCTTTTTCTTTATGCATTGACAAATAAATACTCAACTAAATATTTTATTTTCTCAAAATATATGAGCTAAACAGAGGTCAATGAAATGCCCCAGAAGGATATGGATGTAGAATCAGTTTGTATGCTTAGAAAGGATAGATGCAGCACTTGGGAAGTAATATATTAATGGATATGGAGAAAACAAGCAATTAGGAAGGCTAATGGTATGTTGGCATTTGTTACAAAAAGATTAGAATATAAGAGCAGGGAAGTCTTGCTGCAACTGTATAGGGCCCTGGTGAGACCGCACCTAGAGTATTGTGTGCAGTTTTGGTCTCCTTATTTAAGAAAGGATGTACTCACCTTGGAGGGGGTACAACGTAGATTGACTTGGTTGGTACTAGGGATGAGGGGGATGAGTTATGAGGTTAAGTTGAGCAATTTAGGCCTATATTCTCTAGAATATAGAAGAATGAGAGGTGATCTTATAGAGACCTATAAGATAGTGGGAGACTTTTTCCCCTGGTTGGAGAAACTATAAAATTAGGGGTAAGCCCTTTCGCACTGAGTTGAGGAAAATCTTCTTCACTCAGAGGGTAGTGAATTTATGGAATTTTCTACCCCAAAGGACTGTAGATGCTCAGTCCTTGAACATATTCAAGACTGAGATTGATAGATTTCTTGTGGATTAAGGGATACGGGGATAAGGCGGGTAGGTGGAGTTAGAATAGATCAGCCATGATCTTATTGAATGGCGGGGCAGGCTCGAGGGGCCAAAATGGCCTACCGTTGCTCCTAATTCTTCTGTTCTAAGAAGTGGAAAAGTGGGATTAAAAGATTTTCTGAGCAGTCGCAATTGTCTGAATGATTTTTTTCCTTTTTCTACAGCATTTGATAGTTTTTCCATCATGTTACTAGTTTGATCAGATTTACTTATAAATATTACTCTTTCTCTCACACACATATGTGCACACACATTCATTTGTGAATAGGTTATATTTGTACTGCAGTAGATTTGTGAGTTCTAAGTGTGTAAAACACGTAATGTGAAAAAATGAAAATCAATATTAATTTTTTTTAGATTTATTTATGCTAACAGACTTCTTTTAGGGCTCGCAGGATAAGCCAAACTCTTGAACACTCTTCTCTTCCAGCAAGGCCTGAACATTACATGAAGCCAATAAATCGGTAGCAGGATATTGCATCTTAGCTCACTCAGACAAGTGGTTGTTTGCACCACCCTGTGGCAGCTTAAATTAGATGCATTGTATTGATAATTGTGGCATATATTACATACTTGCGATTTAAGCCTAATAACAAGATCACAAGATTGTTCTGGATGAAGAAATTCCTTCAGTTGATCTGATCTCATCTCTCATGGATACCTGCCCTCTTGTCCCCCCGTCAGTTAATCAAGGTGCTGTTTAAATGAGTCTTGTGTCCTGGGCTCTGTCACCTTTCCTGGTCACCAGTTCTAGTCGTTGATTACCCTCTGCATAAAGAAAAACTTCCTGGTATTTGTCTTGAAATTGCTCTTTGCAACTCGAAACCTAATGTTTTGATCTGGGTTTACTTTTTCAATCCCATTTGAAATTTTGTACACCTCAGTTTTTTTTCTAAGGCTGAAGAGCCCTATCTTGTCTAGTCATTGCTCATTCCTCTTAACACTGGAGATCATCCTCATTGCTCTCCACTGCTCTGCTCCTAGGGCTTGGAAGGTCCCCTTATGTAGTGGTGACCAGAACTATATTCAAGGTGAGGGCTGACCATCCACTGAACAACCTGAGAATAATGTTTCAGGATCTAAACTCAATTTATTTATCAATATAGCCCACGGTCCTGTTTGAAATAAATGAAGAAGTCTGTTGCAAAATAAATAGTGAACCAGTTGTAGTCCTGCAAGAGCAAAATGACTACATTACTTCTAAAACAGACAATCTCAAACAAAATTCTGATATTAATGTTACATTGCAAATTCAAGATCAAGTTTGGAGCTCGTCAGACAATTTAAATTGGTTAAAAATTATTTAAAATGTCATCTACTCAAATAAAAAAAAGTACTCAAATCTGAAGGGTGAAGGAAAATGCACAACATAACTTAATAAATATAACAAGCTGTAATATTCTGTAATATTGTTCAAAAATACCCCGATAACGATGCAAACCCAGCACTAATTGAGAGAAAAAGTGAGAGAACTGTATGAGAGAGTTCTGATGTAGTGGGTGTGTATCCAGAACTATCTGTTAGCTGTTGTTTATTTGAATGCCGAAATATTTCATAAATTATGTTGAAAATTGTATAGTTAGTGAAGGATAAGCAGCCCCATTTTTATGCTTTGCGAATAAACCTGCTTTAATGTTGCTTGCCTGATAAAGTGTGCTTCAATTATTTGCAGGCACTGGAGTGGATCCATGATACTGGAGAATTCTATCTGTCCACACACACATCTACAGGTTCCAGTATCCCACACACTCAAGAGCTTTTAAAAGACCATGAAGAATTTCAAATCACCGCAAAGGTAAGCAGAATTCCTGCTAATTAAATAGCATTTGCAGGTCATGCTAGTGAGGTAAATAGTAACTGAATTGCAAAATAGATATGTGCGTGAAACTTTAATTCAGTACAATTACCGAACCGATCGATTTCAAGATCCTCTTGCTTGTTTTCAAATCCTTTCATGCCCTACACCTCCCTACCTATTCTGCCTGCTTACCCCTCACTCCACCACTCGCTGCCTCTGCTTGACCCGCTCCAGCCCCCTGTTCTTCCCTCGCCCTCTCCTCTGGTCCATCATTGTCAGCCATCCTTTCAGCCACTGCGTCCTGAAGCTCTGGAACTCTCTCCCTTAATCCCCCCTCCTTGCCCTCTCCCTCCCCACTTTCAAATCCTGCCTAAATACCCTTTTTGATCGTGTTCAGAGTCACTTCCCTCTACCCCTGGCTCTGGGGTCAGACTCCACCACTGTCAAGCGCTCCGGGACGCTACACCACGTGAAGGGCGCTATATAAATGCAAATTGTTGTTGATTTTACAAGATTAATGTGCAGTGAGACTTGTAAACTCTGTTATGAAAATTGTAAGCTGTTCTAAATGCATTCCTGTCATTTAGATAGCTCCTTTTGTAGTCAGTCATCTGCATTTAAATATTAGCTTTGTAAATATCATTACTCTAAAATACATACAACAGAACCTGGATTTTGTTTAAAGAAGTAACTCCTAACTCGCTAATACAGCTTCTCCTCTATGCCTTGCACATGTGTTTACAGTTTAATGCACTAAAGGTACTCTATGGAATATATTGTAAAATAAATTTCAAGTATTAAATATGTGTTTTAAATTCTTTTTACGAATATTGAAAGTAAAATAAGTTGTTATAGACATTTTATTGTTTGAAAACCTAGTGACAGATATATATGGCAGAAAATGTAAACATCAAAGTGGAGGGCGCTATATAAGTGCATGTTGTTGTTGTAATCAATAATAAAAATTAGACAGAGAGAACTGGAGACCAGCACTTTTAAGTTCAGCGCCTTGGGACATCCTCCTGACATGAAAGGCGCTGTACAAATGTAATCTTGTTGTTGTTTAAGTTCAGTGCTTATTTTTGTACTTCAATGTTATATAAGCTACAATAAAACTGATCTTGATATTTGAAAGTGAAATGCTATTTGAAACCATAGGAAAATGATAACTGTTGCAATGTATCATTATTGTGTTAATATTGTGACTTGCTTCTTTAGCACAGTGAATGCATGAGCTGCTTAAGTAGACTGGAATTTCTTAACCTATGCCAATCTACTTTATTTTTGGTGATTCGGTTCCCATTGATTTTCATATGGTCAAGTTTAATGGTCTACTGCTCCTAGTATATATGAATTATCTGGATTTGCAGACCCAGTGTAAGATAGTAATTTTCATATGCCGATGACACCAAGTTGGGGGGAACTGTGGCAGGGTCCTAAAAAGAGAGCTTGATACGGGAGGCACATGGGTTGCTAACTGACAAATTAAGTCTCAAAGTACTGCATATAGGATCCAAGTAAGAACTTGCTAAGGGGGAAACTGAAGGAGATCTAGGGTGTAAATTGACTCGTCACTCACCCTGTTAAAACAATGTGAAGCAGCAATAAAAAAAAGGCAAACAGGATGCTGGGCCTTATTACTAAATCAGTTGAGTACAGATCCCCAGACATCATCCTCAGACTGTGCAGTGTCTGGTCAGAACACACCTTGAAGTTCTGGTCACCGTGACATAAGAGGGCTGTCCAGGCCCTGGAGGCAGTACAGAGGAGAGCAACGGGGATGGTTGGACAATGGAGTAACGAGGATTAGATTGGTCGATGGGATCTGTGATGCAGTATCCTGATCTATGGTACTTCACACAGAGCAACCTTAATGTCACAGAGCTTGATTGGCTTTTGTTTTAAAAAAAAACTTCATAGCGCTCATTCTTTATACTTGTTCCTGTTTGTTCGCAGCAAACCAAAGAGCGTGTGAAGCTGCTAATTCAGTTGGCTGATGGTTTTTGTGATAAAGGACACTCCCATGCAGTTGAAATCAAAAACTGGGTCACAGCAGTGGATAAGAGATATCGGGACTTCTCCCTTCGCATGGAGAAATACCGCGTGTCACTAGAAAAGGCACTGGGGATATCCGACTCCAAAGCAGTAAGTGAAGGAAAGAAAATATTTGTTTCTCTCCCTTTCACTGTCGTTGTTCTACATGCTTCAATAATTCGGGGTTCTTTTTTTCCCCCTCCTAACACAGAGCAAAGACTTGCAGTTGGACATTATCCCAGCGAGTGCTCCTGGGTCAGAGGTGAAACTTCGTGATGCCGCCCATGAGCTCAATGAAGAAAAGCGCAAATCAGCTCGCAGGAAAGAGTATGTTTTTATGCCTTTCAACTTATCGTTTTGATTCTTTTGAGCTGGCATAAAAAACAGGAAAAGGACATTTTCCTTAGTGTGCTGGCTACAGACTGCTTTCTCTATTTTTCTAACCAGTCTTATGGTGATGGATTTTGCACAGGCATTTTAATGGAGTCTGATAACAGGATGGTTGCCCATAGATCTGTATTAATAATAATACTTGCATTTGACATAACGCCTTATCACATCTTTGAGACGTCTCAAAGCACTTCACAAAATATACTGTAAAGTGATTTGACAGTATGTTTGACTGTATTGTAAAACAAAGATATTTTATCAATTGAATATGTTGAAGTCCATACTTCAACTGTCTGCTGTGCTTCAAATAGCATTTAGTAGGTGAGATAATAAAACCTAAAAGACTTGTTTCAGCACCTTGGGATGTCCTCCCGACGTGAAAGGCGCTATACAAATGTAATTTTGATGTTGTTGTTTCTGAAAAGCCACTGTGTGAATTACTTTTGTTAACCCTAAAAGCCAAAGCCCTAATAGATAGACAGTGTTCACCATGGCAAGCAATAACCAGCAGTACCCCAACACACACACTCTGGGGTCTCCAATCTAGGCTCTTGCTACCTGTACCTAATACTTTCCAGGATTAGGTAAACATGGTGTATCCCTCTGATGAGAGAGGGCACACTCTGTACCAGACAAAGAGAAATTCCCATGGATTTGTGGAACTCTTAGTCTATTGTGGATACTCTCAAGCGTGATGATAGGTTTCACACTGAGGTGACCAAAACAAATTTAAGACAAAAGACAGCAGGAATATGTTTAGCATTCTAATGTATTTTTATAACCAAGGGCATATATCCTCTTGCCCTTAGATTCATTATGGCTGAATTGATCCAAACAGAGAAAGCCTATGTGCGAGATCTTCGAGAATGTCTGGAGGTAAGTATTTTTCACTGCTGTTCAGTGCATATTGTTTTTTCTTGATCAAAATGATGTCCTACATTGTGGAAATTCAAAGATTTATTTCTGTTTCCTCACCGATTTTCCATCTGCTTTTTTTAAAAGTACATGCTCCTGTTGAAATATGACATTGGAACAGTTGCAGCAAATGCAGCATGATTCAATCTTCACTTTTCATTCTTCTGAGGAGAATTAGTAAAAGGGAAATACTTTGAAAATATGTCAGTTTTGAAAGTTTATTTCAAAAAAATCTTACTAAAAATCTACTTGGAAGCCATCATTTGGTGAACAAAGTGTCTTACTTTGAAAGTGCTTCCTGAGATAAATGTATACAAACTAGGTTGTCATTCTTTTTCATTGCTGAATGCTGCCAGTCATTGAGTGGCATTGTAAACATTCATTCTTTAACAAGCGTCTTGTTCCAATATATTCTTGAAATAAATATATTTATCTTTCCTTCCTAAACTAGACCTATCTCTGGGAAATGACCAGTGGTGTAGATGAAATTCCACCTGGGATTGTAAATAAAGATAATATAATATTTGGTAATATGCCAGAAATCTACGAATTCCATAACAAGTAAGTTTTCCCATCAAACATCCTAGCATTTTTAAACTTTTGGGGTTTTGCTGTTGAGTCAGTATAAATCAAGAGCAGATAATTGGTTTTGAATCTTCCTGTTTTTAGTGTGGGGGTGAGAGGAGGCAAAATGTAATTTATATTTTTGTGATGTTTAGAATATTACTTATCACATCAAAAAAAAATGTTTTTGCCTGAAGGCAGTGCATTGCGGCATTCCTCAGAGCTCTGCCCTCGGTCCTCTCTTCTGTAATATTTATATGCTTCCGCTCGGTGATGTCATCCCCAGGCGTGGGGTTAACTTTCACATGTGGACGTTTGACACCCAACTCTATCTTTCTGTCTCCACCCTCAACTTCAGGACCACTGCTGTCCTGACAAATTGTCTGTCAGACATCAAGTCCTGAAGGAGAGCCAACTTTCTACAGTTGAACGTCCACAAGACCAAGGCCCTCCTGCTTGGCTCCCATCAGTGCCTCCTCATCTCAGGCTCTGACAGTATCACTCTTCATGGATGCACACCCCACCTCACCGAGCTTATACAGAATCCTAGTGTCTTGTTTGACCCTCAACTGTCCTTTAAACCTCCCGTCCATGCCTTAACCCGTTCAGCCTTCCCCCACTTCCACAACATTTCCAACTCTTCCTTCCACAAGCTGCAGAGTACTCAGAACTCTGCAGCTCGTGTCCTTTCTCGCACCAAGCTCTGGGAGCCGACCACCCCCATCCTCGCCCGGTTTCATTGGTTCTCCATCTCCTAGATGATGAAGTTTAAGATCCGCGTCCTCTCTTTTAAAGCCCTTCAGAGTTTTGCTCCTCCCTACGTCTGCGACGTACTGAAACATTGCCAACCCGCCCGTTCCCTCCACTCAGTGGCCTGCTCCATGTCCTCCCCCCTTCCCGCCCCGCCATTGGCGGTCGGGTCGTCAGCCTCTCTGCCCAATCCTCTGGAACTCCATCCCGGAATCCCTCTGCCTCACCCCCTCTCTTGGCTCCATCATGGCCTGGCTCAAGACCTTCTTCTGCGATGTTCGGTCATTCTCCCACCCCCATACCCCTTGCCAACTATCCCAGCTCAGGTGCAAACCCTTGGCTGTCCAGTGCCTTGGGACACCCTTATGATGTGAAGGGCGCTATATAAATGCAGTTTGTTGTTGCATTGAAGCTCAAACACATGCAGGTTTTTTTCTTTGATCTTGGCTGTGCTGTGGGGAAGTAGAAGTGAGCTGGGAAACCTTCAGGTTACTTTTCTGCATCTCAGTGGCATATCTTGATGTAGATTATAAATAACTGTCATTTTTTAAAAAAATGTTGATGTTATGCACCTCACATCTTTGCAGCATATTTCTGAAAGAGCTGGAAAAGTATGAACAGTTACCAGAAGATGTGGGTCACTGCTTTGTTACCTGGGTGAGTTATATGCCATTTTCAAGATACATGTTACACCAAGACCTGTAGCAATATAATGCTGTATTGAATCAAATGCACTTTTCAATTTGTAAAATTGCTTATTAAGTTAAATTGCTTAGTGAGACGACATAAATTAATTTCCTCTTTCCTGAACAAATGTTAAGTGTAGAATATGATGGAATCTGAATTTTTACTTTGATCAGATGGGTATCTGACATAGGTTGAGGCTCATAACTGTGTCCAAACTAAACTACTGAGAGTTTCACATGTGCATGGTTTCCATTTGTCTCATTTGGAATGCTCATGTGCTACCCTATTTACCTCATTACAGAGGTTAGGTGCAGGTTGGCAAGAGCCAAGAATTGGGGACCCCAGAATGTGCATTTAAGTGCTGTGGGAGTCTAACCAACTAAAACCACATACAACCTTCAGATTCTAAGCTCTGGAATTCCCTCCCTGTACCCCTCACCCCTTGAGCCCTTCATCTCGCCCCTTCTCTGTCTACGTCGTGGCTTAAAAGCTACATTTCAACAATGCCTATGGCCATCTCCTACTTTCTCCCACCGCCTCTTCCTTGCTGGCATTCAAACTCACTTTTTGTAAAGCACTCCCATAAGTTAACATACATGATGCATATAAATAAATGCAGGTTGTGATTGTTTATTTGTAGTTGCCGCAATTACAAATGCTGGCTGTTCACTGGTATGTTGCCATTTTCCTGGCCTGTAAGGACCTTCCCTACACATTGGGGACAGTCTTTGGCTAGAATCCAAACATTGCTATGCCCAATACCAAATAATGTGTGTGCCAAATTTCAGTGCAAACACAAAGTGTTTATATAAAACAGTGCATAAATGCTGAGCCATTTCATAATGAAATGACCGTGTAGTATAAAATAAGCATAAAAATTCTCTTTATCTTTAATTTGATAAATATTACTGAACATTGTTAGCGTATTCCCTGCCTATTTGTTTATTGTTACAAGACCTGCGTAAACCAATGATGTTATGTTCCGATGTTAGAGTTCCTTCCACATATAATTGGCAAAATAAATACAACTGTGGTTTGTTACTGTCTCATGTTTATCTGAACAGGCTGACAAGTTCCATATGTACGTAACATACTGTAGGAACAAGCCAGATTCAACGCAGCTCATCCTGGAGCATGCAGGGGCCTACTTCGATGTAAGTACCATGTCTGGGGTCTCATCATTTAACTCTTCCAGTTCCTGATGCGCATCATCACATTATATTAGTTAGCTTCAAAATAACAAGAAGAAGTTATTGTAGTCAATGGGTAATAGATCTGTGGGACTCATGTCCAGCAGAGGTGATGGAATAAACTCAGTTGGTAGCACTCTCATCTGAGTCAGAATATTGTGAGTTCAAGCCGGAAGTTGGGACTTTGAATTCAGGCTGTATTAAGCCGACACTTCAGTACAGTGCTGTGGGAGCTCTGTTTTATTGGAGGAGTGTCTTTCGGGGGATGTTAAACTGAGGATCCATTTGCCTGGACATTAAGGATCAGAAAGGACTTCCTCTCGGTGTCTTTACCAACAAACTCCCAGAAAGCAATGGTCATTCACTTCATGGCTGTTTGTTGGACATTGCTGTATGCAAATTGACTGCTTTGTTCACCTACAAAATACAGTCAGTACTGTTTAGGGTAAAGTTGCTTACTTGTTTATAAGCTATCTTTTTCAGCCTAACATGCTTATTGTCTATTAATTTGCACATAGAAAAAGAAAGGTGCAATATTTTTTTTTAAAAATGAGTCTAATAACAGATCAGATATATCACAGGCTTGTAGTTTTGAGTCTCAGAGTTGCATGAAGTTGCCATTATGTTATGATGAATGAATTTGTGTACATCAAGGGATAAAAATCAAAATTAGTATTGCCTGATCATATCATAGAATTGTAGAACGTTAGTTTTTGAGTCGTTTAGTTTGAATGTACGTAAGCAAACTGGCAACAAATACTTTTGCTGTTACTCTGTTCAATAGTAAAGTGCTCTGAGACACTATCCTGTGTGGAGGGCGCTATATAAGTGCAAGTTGTCGTTGTAAAAGTACCAAATTCAATTTCCTGGCAGGATGTGGATTACTGTAAAGTAGTTTTCAGCTGGGTCACTAGGTGGAGCACTGGTTGTGAGTAGAGTGGGTTGGCTGCTGGAAAACACTGGCATTGCAGAGATCACCCTCCCTTTTACACCCACACATTTTCAACCCACTGGCACGATTGTTAGTGGTTGTAGAATGGTTTAAGGCCTGAAAGACTTGCTTTTTTGTCTAAGTGGAGCACTTGACTTTATTTTTGTTGGAAGGAGATGGGATTAAAGCAACATTGCATGGAATTTTAGTGAGTGTTTTTTTCTTTTCTTCAAAAAACCCAGGAAATACAGCAGCGACATGGACTGGCCAACTCGATCTCTTCCTATCTTATCAAACCTGTACAGAGAATAACCAAGTATCAGCTGCTTCTAAAGGTAGGAGAAGCATCGTTTGAAAATGTGAGGCTGTGAAGCAGCAATAATTAATCATTACATTAATTTTTTTAAAGTTAGCTTGTGGTCAACTCTAGTACACATTCTGTCTTACTCAAGGCTGTGCACACTCTTCACTCCCATCCTCTCCGGGTTCCCCAGCAGATCAGATTTATGGTTCTTGTGAACTTCATATCCCTCAGTCTTGCTACTCCTTATCTCTGTAATCGTCTCCAGCACTATTCTCCTGCCCATATTCTTCGCTCCTCCAATGTTGGTTTATTGTTCATTTGTCACTCCCTCTTATAGCCAAGCTTTCAATCACCACATCCCCGCTCTCTAATTCTTTTCCAAAGCTTCTTGTTCTGTTTTCAAAACTTTTTAAAAAGTTTTGAAAATTCAATGGAACTAGTGATATAGCTTGTGTCTTCATGGTTTAGTTCAATTGTGTTACACAGGAGCTGTTGACTTGTTGTGAAGAAGGAAAGGGAGAGATTAAAGATGGTCTGGAGGTGATGCTGAGCGTGCCAAAGCGAGCTAATGATGCCATGCATCTCAGTATGCTAGAAGGTGCGTCCTGTCTTGTCCTCCCAAACACAACTCAATATCGGCATCAGAGTGGCATTGGTTCTAAATTCTGCCTAAAGCAGCTCAAGATAACAGCATATGTTTCACTTTATGTTCAAGTATCTGTGTTTGACTAATGCTGGAAAGGAAAATATGAACACTTGTATCAGCCTGGCTCAATTAGTAGCACTCGTCACTGAGTCCGAAGTTTGTGGGTTCAAGCTCTACATCGGGAACTCAAACCCATATAGTCTATGATGACACTCCACTGCATTGTCGAAGGTGCTGCCATTTGGTTGAGACCATAACCCAGGTCCCATCTGCCTGTTTGAGTGGACGTCAAAAATCCCATGGTACTATTCAAAAAGGACAGGGAGTTTCTCCCAGTGTCCTGGTCAAAACCCCCCAAAATAAAATAAGTTACTCACTCCATGGCTGTTTGTGGGCTATTGCTGTGCGCAAATTGGTTGCCACACTCACTCATAAAATACACATAGAAATACCGCTTTACAATATATCCTGTCATGTGCTTTTGAGATGTCTTGACAATGTGATAAGGTGTGATATTAAATGCAAGAATAATTATTATAAAACTAACTTGTCCTAGATAATTCCATAGGTTACTTAATTTTTTATACTATTTATCAGAGTGATTTTCTCTTGCAAAAGATATAAGCAGAAAAAGTCCATTGAGAATCCATCCAAGCTATCTTGTAAGAAATATGACTGTTCTTCAGTAAAGTAGTGGTGTCCCCTCCATTTTGTTAATACTTCTATGTTTTCTTTGTGTTTGTAGTGAGATGTTTGTTTTCGTTGTGAGGAAGGCTCATTTTGTACAGAACTTTGCGCTAAAACATATTTTTGGAAAAAGTAGAATGTGAAAATAAATTATTGTGTTTGTATAATAGAGAAAATGTAAATTTGTTGTTGTTGTTGTCCTCAGGGTTTGAAGAGAACCTGGAATCCCAGGGAGAGCTGATCCTGCAAGAGTCCTTCCAAGTGTGGGATCCTAAATCCTTAATCCGCAAAGGCCGAGAAAGACATCTCTTCTTGTTTGAAATGTCACTCATCTTCAGTAAAGAAATCAAAGATTCCAACGGAAGGAGTAAATATATCTACAAACACAAACTGCTTGTAAGTGCGATCATTGGAAGTAGGTAGCATTGATGGAAACACACTGCATTAAACAAGCTAAATCCAACTCTACTTGAGTGTCTTTGATTTTTATGGTTTGGATACAAGTAGCTAATATATTTGCATTGGCACAATGTCTACAGGAATAATTTTCATCTTTCATAGCTCAAATTCTTTTTTAAATGGTTTTGATCAGTTAGGATGTCTGATACATATATCAGCCCATTACCATGCTTAGGGAATCTAAACTAGACTGAGAGTTCAACATGTGTATGTGACCTAGATGTGGAAATTTCCCTGTGTCTAAAATGGAATGCGTAATCTCTCCCAAAAGGGACGCATCCTGCTTACCAAATTCTGGAGAGTGTTCGGCACAGGTTGGCGAGAGTCAAAGCTTGGGACTCCCAAATGTACACTGGGGTATTGTTGGGGTTTAACAAGTTAAAACCACGTAACTTGCCATTGAGTTCACTGTCTGGCACACTTTCTGCTGCTTGTCCTGCTATGACCACCATTCCCATAGTCTGCCTTTCCAAGTCCTGCCTGCGTTTGACCCACCAAAGAACTACTCTCATTTCTTTTTTTATATATAAAAGTGTAATACTGTTGGATTCTTGAGCAGAAATGGCATTCTGAAAGGTTCAGTATCTGTTTGTGACAATCATTAGAAACTGAATAACACAATTGCCATCAACATAATTATTCATTGTTTCAATGTCTTCTCATTTGTATAGATTGCTGCATTGACATGTTGAAAATGTAACTTGCTACCAGAGCAATGCTGCAAAAATTAAAGAAGCAGTCAGTGTGTTATCAATCAGTAATCTGAACCAGATTGAAGGTGCCTTTCACTGTTTTACAGACCTCAGAGCTGGGGGTCACAGAACATGTTGAAGGGGATCACTGCAAGTTTGCATTGTGGGTTGGAAGAACTCCTACATCAGACAACAAAATTGTCTTAAAGGTAATTCAATATTTTGAAACTTGAGAAATTTTAAATGTTTTTGGTAAGTTCGAGTAATGGGCAAAGTAGACTAGCGAATTGTTTATTGCAGTAAATCAACAGACTATTCGTTTAGTTTTCCCACAAGGAATTATCTCATTAATCTTTTGGGGATTTTGTATGTTTGTACAATTTAAATTGTAGAAGATGACGGCTCATTATTTTTTCCCCCATGCCTTTTTGCCATGAATGTTACCTTTTGTGATGAAGGCTTCTAGTGTTGAAAACAAGCAAGATTGGATCAAACATATCCGCGAGGTTATACAGGAAAGGACCATCCATCTAAAGGGAGCGCTGAAAGAAGCGATCCATCTGCCCAAACCCACGTCTCACAAGCATAAAGGGAGAAGGTGAGTGAGTGCTTTGTCACACTGTTACCTCTCCGACCTCCTCACTCCCCAATCCACCACTTGGTGCCTCCGCTCGACTGGCACCGGTCTCCTGTTCGTTCCTCGCACCCTCCGCTCCACCATCAGAGGTCATGCTTTCAGCAACTACGGCCGAAAACTCTGGAACACTCTCCCTCAATCCCTCCACCTTGCTCCTCTCTCCCCTTTCATGTCCCGCCTGAATACTTTCCTCTTCGACCGTACTTACACCCACCTGCTCACTCTCCCCCAGCTCAGAGTCAGGCTCTGCCACTGTTAAGCGCTCTGAGACGCTACCCTGCATGGAGGGGGCTATATAAGTGCAAGTTGTTGTTGTTACAGTCCATATTCAACTTACTTCTGAGCCTTCATGGTGCTAATGTACTAAAATGCCAACACCTCTTGTAGTAATAATAATAATCCTTGCATTTGATATAGCACTTTTCACGTCTTCTAGACGTCCCAAAGCGCTTCATAGAATATACTGTAAAGTGAATTGACTGTATATTTGTGGGCGAACGCGGCAGCCAATTGCGCACAGCAATGTCCCACAAACAGTCATAGATTTAAAATGACCAATTTATTATTGTTTTTGGTTTGGAGGGATTATTATTAGGCGTGTAGAGTAAGGAAACTTGCCCAAGGTTTCGCCCTCTGCCTGGAATTGAACTCAGGTCTCTCGCTTACAAAGCAAGTGCTCTAACCACTGAGCTACAGGACTCAAGTGAATTTAATTTTTTCTTCATGTGTATTTAAGAGGCCTTGACAGAAATATTTCAGAGACAAAAAAACTTAACAATTTTGATTTCAAATGATAGTTCTCCTTACACAAACGGTTTATTCCAGGTGCCTGCTACTCCAAAGGGAAGAGGGTAGGATAGATGTTCATCAGAACCTGTCTTGTGATATCTGGATCAGAGCATCTTTAACTCTTGTTTTTTGGAGATGATTTGAACAGTGTACAACAACAGCAACAAAATTACATTTGTATAGCGCCTTTCACGTCGGGAGGATGTCCCAAGACACTGGACAGACAGACAATTTTAATACAGAAACTGGGGGTCGGGATCGGGGAGGGTGGAGGGCAGGGGGAGGAAGCAGAGTGATCGAAAGCACGGTTGGAGAGGAGGGTCTTGAGATGAGGCAAGGGAGGGGGCAAGGCGAAGGGACAGCAGGATGGAGTTCCAGAGGGTGAGGGCAGAGTGGCAGAAGGGCCAACTGCCAATGGTGGGGCGAGCGAGGCGGGGACGTGAAGCAGGCCGGAGCCCGCTGAGTGGAGGGAGTGAGCAGGTTGGTAGGGGGATAGGAGGTTGCAGAGGTAGGGGGTAGCAAGACCGTGGAGGGCTTTGTAGGTGAGGACCAGGATCTTTAACTGTATCCTCTGTGATGGGAAGCCAGTGGATTTACTGTCATGGGAGATTTAGCATTTCAACTGTTTATTAATAATAATAATAATCCTTGCATTTGATATAGCGCCTTATCACGTCTTTGAAACGTCTCAAAGCACTTCACAGAAATATACTGTTTATTTTGTGGGTGAAACGTGGCAGCCAATTGCACACAGCAGTGTCCCACAAACAGTCGTGGATTGACCAAATTATTATTTTTTTTGAAGGGATTATTACCCCTGGAAAAGTGATGCGCCAATCGACTAACAAGTGTAAAGTGTAGTAACTGTCTGCTCAATTTGGGATTCAGTTTAACCTACTGAAGGACAACTGGATTTGTCATTTTTTGTTTCAGGGATGGTGAGGAACTGGACAGCCAAGGAGATGCCAGTAGTCAGCCTGACACCATCTCTATTGCATCACGGACCTCACAGAACACACTTGACAGTGATAAGGTAGGTTAAATTCTTTCATGTTCAGACACACAAAAAGAAGCTGTTGATTTGATGGGAATCGTTTGACCGAACCAAAACCTCGGTTAAAGTGAAAGATCCAGTTGCCAACCCATTCCTTTTAATCTAGAACCATCAAGCGATCACAATAATTAAGTTGTGGTTATTCTTTAAATAAACTCTTTAATCTTATTTGTTACCAAAATGCTGAAAGGATTTACATAGTGTCCATGGTAACATAGTGCAAAGGGGAAGATAATGATGCTAAAGCCTAGATTTATGATGTGCACAACACAACACTGCGTACTTGTATTATTAACACATAGTTTATTTTTCCAGAAATATATTATTTATGGTGCAGCAGTTTCAGAACTGTTGTATGCTTTCATTACATTCTTTCTGGACTTGGAAAAATATACAGATTAATCTTAGTAAATCAGTCATTAAGTGTAATCTCCTGTACTTAGAAATCAGGAAACTCATATGGCTGCAAGCATTCGCTCAGTTCTCAAAAAGCATCTTAAGTGCTCAGTTTATGATGCGGTTTTCCTAATGTATATATTGGTCCTTCTGACCAAAAAGCCTTGGCTATTGTCAATGTGTGTCTCTGTCTGTACCTGTACTGGTTAAGGGTAATGGTTTCTCATTGCTGGCAGAGTTTACCTATGCATCACTATAGGTTATAGAGCAGGACAGGTGTGGGAGTGCTCTATAACCCCCAATAGCAGAAACCTTGGAAGTAATTGGAGGCAGACAGATAATGTAATTGTGGGAGCAAGAGCAACAAAGCTGAACCAGTTAATGCTGCAACAACAAACTCTTTAAATATTTGTTTGAGAACAGGATTAGAGGATATAGAGAAATTGGAGATAGTTGCAGACTGAACCTCTACTCCATATGATTTCTGTGTTGGGACCTTGCCTGAGATTTGTGTAAAGAGAAGAAACTGGGATCGAATAGAAAAAAATATTCTGGAGTTTTTGTGCGATTGCACTTATAATTCAGGGAGTATTTATACATTCAATACAAAATAAAAATACTTTCCCTGTAGGAGACAAACTGGGTGTGTTTTGTATGGTCTGTAGAAGGAACAGAACTGGTAGGCCAAATGGTCTTTTCTCATACAATGATTTTTGGTCCTCTGTAGCAGAATTCAATCAATCCAGCCCTGGGAATCTGGCACTTTCTGTGCAAATGAGATAATCTTTTCACAAGTAAAACTGGGGCATATCTCTCAAGCCAGGGCTCATGGGAGGGGTGGACCTTTTGAAAGATAGAAAGTGACTTATTTTTGGACAGAAATAAATTGGGGGAAGTAGGGTAGATGTACGACTTTTGTTTTAAAATTCTTTTGCCAACTTTCATTGGTAGCATGCTTTTGAAGAGAATCCTGCTGCTCAGAAGGGTCAGAAGGTGGTACGGTGCTGGTACAAGTAGTAGTACCAGGATATCTGGGATCTGTTATGATTTATTTTTCAGTACTGATGAGATTAGAGTTCCAACAATTGAAGGTACCATTTCAATGTAATGCATTCTTCTGTCTGTCTGCCTTGAAACTGGTTTTGTAAACCCACTGACCAATTTTTTTTAAAAGACATTGGTATGGTCAAAGGAGTTGAAAAGTTTAGAAACGATACTTGATTTCACAGTCAAAAGCAGGATGGACGTGCACAGAATCTCATGAATAAATTAGGGTCTTGAGTCTCAGCAGATTATTCAACCTTGGGGGCCTGATAGGTTAGTCTGTTCCTGGTCTCACATGGTTGGCATTCGCATGTACTCTCCACCAGAGGACACTGGATAGCAGTCAGGAGGGAAAACCCTGTCTCTGAACTTCCTACCACAAGGGTATTTGAGACCAATTTGGTGTCTGTGCTGACAAGATGACCTGCTGAGTTCATTTAATTAAGCATAGACCGGGTTTGAATCTGGCATTGTCCTAGACTAAATGTATGGGTACCAAAATATGTCAAGTGATAGATTTATCCATTGAGCTATCAGAACAGTGGACGTTCTTTTGGTTAGAGAGGTTTGCGTTGCTGTGCATAATAATTGTAAAATGATTTTCAGCTGATTACCAGAATGTTCCATGTCCAATATGTGTCATTAAAAATTGCAGGTAAATAATTAACCCTAACCCTAACCCCTCCTATGAATTATAAACTGAATTATCCAGATTTCTAGAATCCAATATTTCTAGAATATCCCGACTTTTATACCTTTACACCGAACTTCATGTGTACATTGTAGAATAATTTACCTGTTGGATCTGTCCTGAAATTGCAGATTAATTGTGGACATCTAGCACAAAACATCCAAGCTGTTCTCTGCATTGCTTGGTGCTTTGTCTAGGAATCTTCAATCAAAGTCACACAATGAAGAGTTGTATTTGTATTTTTAAAGGAAAAACTGAATATAATGGAAATCTGAAATAAAACAGAAAATGCTAGAAATGGATAACAGGCCAATCGTCACCTGAAAGAGAAAAATAGGGTGCGGTGGGGAGACTATCTTGTAGATAGACTTATAATTACCTTGTAAAACCAGACATGCTCCAGTCGTTTCCTCGTGGAGACAGTGGATTAGCCACACTAAGATAACGTCACATTTTGATACACTTTGTACTCTGTGGGATGAAAATACATCCTCTTAGATCTCTATACACATAAACTAACCTTTTATTAAAATTCCTGGTGCTTTTTCCCCCTCGGGCAATATGAGAAGCACATGAACTGCACGCTTCTCTCGATTGTGATACAAAGGGTCAGTTATACTGATATATAAATGTGAAAATATAATTGCAGTCATGTGTGTCAAATCAAGATTCTAGAGACTGATGTTCATAATCTTCACAAAACAATTTTATACCTTTAGTATGATGTTTATAGATCATTCCCTGAACATTCCTACACTCTTTGTATTGTTATCTTTTTTATCTCTCTCTACATTTTCAGCAATGGAATGTATGGGTACCCATACAGTGTAGATAATTTAGTTATAGCTTTTTATTTCTCTGGGAATAAACAGTCTCTCATTGCAACTGTGAAGCTATGACCATAATACAGTTGTTTGTTTTTTGGAAGGTTCTGGAATAAATTCCTGCTGAATTTATTATCTCATTAAGATGAGGATACCAGTGTTGGGAGTACAATACAAAATTACATTTGTATAGCACCTTTCACATTGGGAGGACATACCAAGGCGCTGGGAATAGTAAATGTTGAATCCCTTTGACACCCATTGTGCTTGTGAAGTTCTTCCAACTTGGGTGTAGCACAAGTTAGATGCACAGTAAAACATCTTACCATACTTATCCAGCAGAAAAGCGTAACCTTGTCCTCACAAGAGTTATAATACAAAAGCATATGTGCCATCCAGGGTATTAAAAGATGAAGGGGAGGAAATTGCAGATGCGTTAGTCATAATTTTCCAAACCTCTCTATATTCAGTAATATAGAGAGAATTGAATTCTCCAATCCCTTAGAGAATTGCAAATGTTGCTCCAATATTTAAGAAAGGAGGGAGAGAGAAACCAGGTAACTACAGACCTATTTACTTCAGTTGTGAGGAAATTACTGGAATCTCTCATCGGGGACAGAGTGACTGAGCTAATCAAAGAGAGTCAGCATGGATTTGTGAAGGGTAGGTTAGGTCTGACAAATATAATTGAATTTTTTGAGGAGGTCACTAACATGCTGGATAAGAGAGTGTCTATGGATGTCGTCTACATGGACTCACAGAAGGCATTTGTTGAGGTTCTGCACAAGGGGTTATTAGCAAAAATCAAAGCACATGGAATCGGAGGTAACCTTGCAACGTAGCTTGGTTGGGAGGCAGGAAACAGAGTAGGGATAAAGGGAACGTTCTCTGATTGACGGGATGTGACAAGCGGTGTTCCACTGGGTTCTGTACTGGGGCATCAGCTTTTCACCATATATATAAATGACTGGGATTAAGGAATAGAGAGTTTTGTATCCAAATTTGCAGATGACATCAAGTTAGGAGGTACAGTACATTGAGTAGATGGGAGCAGGAAGTTACAAAGGGACTTAGATAGATTAAGTGAGTGGGCAAAACTGTGGCAGATGGAATTCAATGTGAGGAAGTGTGAGGTCATCCACATGGATCTAAAAATATCAAAACAGAATATTGCTTTGGCTGAACCTATCACTGATTTATTTATCATAGATTCATTTCTTAGGTTCTCTTCACTTCAGCTATGGAGAAATAAAAAGAAAAGACAATCCAATCTTTATTTTTCCTTCATTGGTAATGAAGAAGTCTTCATTGGTTTCACCCACAAAATATATAGTCAGTTCACTTTACAGTCCAATCTGTATACTATATACTTTACAGTATATCAAGATGTCTTGAAGACATGATAAGGCTCTATATCAAATGCAAGGATTATTATAATGTGCAATGGTTGCTTAAAAGATGGTATTTGAGTTAAAAAAACTGACCTTATCATAACACCTCATTACATTGAAATTTCTTAAATATAATTATTCTCAAGTGTAGTGACTGCATTTAGAGGCATTCATGTCAGCCAGCAAGTTACATGAGATGTATTACCAATTTGGAGGATTCTAGACAGTACACTAAGACAAACTTCCTTCTTCTTTTTCCATAATATCATGGTGTCTTTAACTACCGTTTGAATCGATAAATGATTTTAATTTCATGTCTCATCTGAAAGAAGGCACTTCCAGAAATGTCAGCCTAGACTATGAGCCTCTCTGTCTCAATATGGGGCTTAAACCCACAACCCAGAGGTACGAGTGCTGTCAACCCTTGTATTGACGCACAAATCACATTAAAATGCTAATAGATTGCTTAATCCTGATGAGGTGTTGAAAGATTTTTGTAGCTTTGGTAATCTTAGACATGCTTTCCAAGTATGACTTTCAGAATATTAAAACAAAGCTACAGCTATTAAAGATAAAAATGAACGCATGTTCATCAGCATGTCTTTTTCATAAACCACACCTTTTCTAGATGAA